ACCATATCCGGATTTCGACAATTAATGTCTCTTCAGTGATGTTAGGAATCGAAACGGTATTTGGAAGGCCATATAATTTTCCTCAATTTAGGATAGACTTTTGAATTTTGAAGAGTCTAAATAGGATGAACGGATCATATAAACCCAAAGGCAAATATAATACAAGCCCAAACGAAAAAATATAAATAAGTCTAAATTGAATACAACGTTCAAACCTATGATTGCGTTGGATAAAAACCGCAATTTTTATACGTGTGCATGCAAAACAAATTTCTTGGTAGAGGGGTCTAAATACAGCACAAACAACATTTTCCAAAAGACCAAAAAAGTGAAAAGGTATATTTAAACAAAATGCATTTGACTAACAGGTCGAACAACTGATGTTCTTAAACCCTGCTGACTGCCATTGGCGATTGCCAAATAAACGGATCACCAGATGTAACAAAATGGATCTTTATTATTAATTTAATACCAAACAGAAAACAATAAACTTGCGGAAAAGATGGTATACCGCAAACATGAGGTGCAAAAATTTGTACACCATATCCGGATTTCGACAATTAATGTCTCTTCAGTGATGTTAGGAATCGAAACGGTATTTGGAAGGCCAAATGATTTTAATTTACCTCAATTTAGGATAGACTCTTGAATTTTGAAGAGTCTAAATAGGATGAACGGATCATATAAACCCGAAGGCAATATAATACAAGCCCAAACGAAAAAATATTAATAAGTCTTAATTGAAAACAACGTTCAAACCTATGATTGCGTTGGATAAAAACCGCAATTTTTATACGTGTGCATGCAAAACAAATTTCTTGGTAGAGGGGTCTAAATACAGCACAAACAACATTTTCCAAAAGACCAAAAAAGTGAAAAGGTATATTTAAACAAAATGCATTTGACTAACAGGTCGAACAACTGATGTTCTTAAACCCTGCTGACTGCCATTGGCGATTGCCAAATAAACGGATCACCAGATGTAACAAAATGGATCTTTATTATTAATTTAATACCAAACAGAAAACAATAAACTTGCGGAAAAGATGGTATACCGCAAACATGAGGTGCAAAAATTTGTACACCATATCCGGATTTCGACAATTAATGTCTCTTCAGTGATGTTAGGAATCGAAACGGTATTTGGAAGGCCAAATGATTTTAATTTACCTCAATTTAGGATAGACTCTTGAATTTTGAAGAGTCTAAATAGGATGAACAGATCATATAAACCCGAAGGCAATATAATACAAGCCCAAACGAAAAAATATTAATAAGTCTTAATTGAAAACAACGTTCAAACCTATGATTGCGTTGGATAAAAACCGCAATTTTTATACGTGTGCATGCAAAACAAATTTCTTGGTAGAGGGGTCTAAATACAGCACAAACAACATTTTCCAAAAGACCAAAAAAGTGAAAAGGTATATTTAAACAAAATGCATTTGACTAACAGGTCGAACAACTGATGTTCTTTAACCCTGCTGACTGCTATTGGCGATTGCCAAATAAACGGATCACAAGATGTAACAAAATGGATCTTTATTATTAATTTAATACCAAACAGAAAACAAAAAATATATATATATTTTTTAAGTGAGTTTTTTTCATGTTTGTGGTATATGTTTACAAGTTTTGGCTGCCTGATCCCAATTATAATCATAATTATCTATTATGTCTGTTTGAGTTGCTTACCAAATTTTGTCAATATAATTGAACTATAAACAACTGTCGTAGCTAGCTATAACATGTATAACACCAGGTTTAACCCACCATTTTCTTTGGAAAATGCCTGTACCAATTCAGGAATATGACAGTTGTTTTTCGCTCGTTCTGTTGGTTGATAACGTTTGATTTTGTCCCAGATTAGAGAGAGGTTTGAACGCTAACAAACATGTTAAACCCTACCACATTTTTTATGAGCCTGTCCCAAGTCAGGAGCCTCTAATTCAGTGGTTGTCGTTGATTCATGTCTGTCATGTTTGTTTTTCGTAAATTATTTTGTTATAAATTAGGCCGTTAGTTTTCTCGCTTGAATGTTTTACATATAGCTGACTATACGGTATGGGTTTTCCTCATTGTTGAAACTTTTGATAAACTCGTTCATAATTACAAAAATGTGGTTTGGAAGTTGGCTGTACCTGTAGAACAGGATATAACATCCTAATATCAAGTTACGGTGGAGTTTATAGAGCCCGTAAATTTAGATACGATACATGTAAACTTATTGATCCTTTTCCTTTTTCCTTTTCTTTATTTTCTAATTAAATTCTATTTAATTTTTCTACTAACAACTCTCTCTGTTTGATTTTTTTCTTTTTTGATTGTCATGTTTCTTCTTTTTTCTTTTTTTTTCTGAAATTAACGTCTATAGGCACTGAATTCCATCATGCAATATGATTGTTCATTTACTTTTTATTTCGTACAATTTGTTTGATTTTACATTTGAGCTATTTCTTTATATATTTATTGCTGATGCGTGTGTATCATAGTATTTGTTTATTTACTCAAGAGGACTTGTTATTTGTAAGTTTTCCGCAATGCAATTTGTTTAAACTATTGATCCCTTGAATAAACTTACCTTAACATCTCCTTACTTTTATATAACTCTTTAAGGGACATTAGCTATGATTTAGACAAAATTGAAATGTTTATTGGTTTTTTTTCCAAACAATTTTGAAAACGTAATTTCGCTGTATTTATGCAAAATTTGATATAACCTTTGTTTGAGACGAATTGTTCATGTGTTTAGCATGTCCAGAGATTAAAAGGAATTTTAGCTTAAAGAATAAACAAGGGAATGCAGCAGCATGATGACCGACCTCGCTGATTGATTCGACCCGAAAAATCATTCATATCTATACAGGTTATGAGTGAAGAATTTACATTTAATTTATAATTTTTTAACTATGAAATGAGATTAAAAAAAGTGTAAGAAAATCGACTGTATACTGTTGTATGGTCTTACCTATCTGTTCATTTTTACATCGGATGTGACCTTGGGGTCATACCGGTGTTATGTTGCCGCAGAAATGTCCTTGCCGTTTGACTGATAACCGAACGAATTTTGTATAATTACGCGGATATTATCGAGTGCAAAATAACATTCCTTATCGCTTGTTAAATATTAATTTCATAAATAAATATTCATGAAAATAATTTTTAAGAACATAGATAAATGTATGAAAATGTTTTGTCGTGAGAAATATATATATCAATAACAAATCATGGATACCGAAAATGTGTGTTAACGCATGCGGAAGAATATCTCGAGAACGTTTTGCAACAAAAGCGGGAAAATATGAATGTCTACTCAAATCCAATCTATTAGAAAAACGAATTATTACAGAAGAGTGTCCACCATGCACTTGCACTGCACTATCATTAGAATAGTAAAATAGAATGATATATAAATGGATGAAAAAATTGCCTGTAGAGTTATTAAGATGATCTGCTATATATATAACTGGTATATGATTAATATAATATATAACAACAAATCAGAATATACTGATAACAAATGATTATATGACTACAATATAATAATTATTACGGTGAGGTTGAATTCCCTGTCATTTATTCATCATCCACACAGGAACTTGTCTCAGAAAAAATATATCTATGTACCTTAACCTAACTTTCAGGTATAGAGATGTGATTTTTTATCTGAGACAAGTGCTTGTGACCATCCACCAGAACTTGCGGTCATCCGATATCAGTACTTCAGTACTTTGATTATAATTACATATGCCCATCGACAGTTTTCGAGGGTCGTGTCGATAATTAATTTGATGGTGTCCAGTCAGGAATACACACTGAATGTTGATACTTTTTAACGATCCCAGACATTGTGTATTGTTTTCTGTGGAACTTTTGTAGTACTGAATTATGTTTCAGCATATATCAAATTTGAGAGTTTGAATACATATTCGGAGGGCATACACATGGCAGTTGGTGCTCCTTTTAAGGTTATCAATTTAACACTGAAGTAAAATCTTTGAATATCGTCATTTAAAAAATTCTTGACAGCACATTTAATTCATTATAACCAATGCAAAAGTTCGATACAAGAAATCAAATCTGTGATAACGAAATCTAATCAAAGTACTGAAGTACTGAACATCGGATGACCGCAAGTTCTTGTGGATGGTCACAAGCACTTGTCTCAGAAAAAAAATCACATCTCCATACCTGAAAGTGAGGTTAAGGTACATAGAAATATTTTTTTCTGAGACAAGTTCGTGCGTGGATGATGAATAAATGACAGGGAATTCAACTTCACCGTAATAACTATTATATTGTAGTGATACAAATCAGTATACTCTGGTTTGTTGTTATATATTATATTAATATTTGTATATAACAGTTACATGTATATATAATTTTCATCCACTTGTATAGCATTCTATTCTACTATTCTAATAATAGTGCAGTGCAAGTGCATGGTGGACACTCTTCTGTAAAAATTCGATTTTACTAATAGATTGGATTTGAGTAGGCATTCATATTTTCCCGCAAAACGTTCTTGAGATATTTCTCACGACAAAACAAATTTATATCATTTATATATGTTCTTAAAAATTATTTTCATGAATATTTATTGATGAAATTGATATATAACAAGCGATAAGGAATGTTATTTTGCGTTCGGTTGTCAGCCAAAAACAAAAGTCACGTGGGTAGAAATGTCTGTGGCAACAATACACCGGAATGCCCTCACGGTTATTCGATGTAAAAATGGATGTTATGAACGAAAGTCGTGACAGAAAAACTAGACGTTGAATCTCAGTGATTTTTGGTGAACTCCTTTACAAAACTGTTTGTGAATGATACTAAATGCCATTACAGGACACAATAACTCTCCCATTATTATAGATTTTAAAACATTTCTCAATCATTTTCAAGTTTTAGAACGGTTTATTCTTTGGTAGCTTTCTAAGTAAACAACAATTGAACGATTACCTGTAAATTAAATATTGTGTTAGGTCCCACCCGTATCCAGTGACTGTATGTTGAAATTCACGCTGATATTATGGATATTCACTGAAGCAGAAAATCTTAAACAAAGACTAAATAAAGCTGGGTATATAAGGCAAGAATATTGTTATATTCTTATACCACATAAGTGTTCATTTACTTTATCACAGTGTTTAAACATTTAAATATTTCGGATCATATTTTAAAACAATGTTTCGTTGTTGAAAGGTTCAAAAAAAGTTTCAGTGAGTAGTTTTTAATATATTCTAATTGTCTAAAAAGAATCGTTTTGACAACTTACTAATTTGACATTTTTTCCGCATAAGAATATGAATGTGAAATTAACTTCTAGAGACACAATTAAAAAAATAAATAAATGAAACTCCTTACAGTCAGTCGTAAGTTCGAACGAAATTTCTATTCTAATAGGGAAAAAGTTGTTGAGAACAAAAAAAAAGTAAATTTTGTGATAATCTGATAAGTAGAGCCACATTTATCGAGTACATGCTGTTTAACTAGACTTTTCTTGTTTCGTTAGTTTTACAGCTTAACCGCCACAATGCAAATTCCAGAACTTATGCTCAGTTAGCAGATTCACTCAAACGCCTTTTGACCATGATGATAACATTTTATTAAGAACCATGAACAGTTAATAGACAAAACCATACACCAAATTAATTGGGGTTATAAAGTAATGAGAATGTCTAGAACTAATTGCAGAATCCTTTAGTAGATGCATAGGAAACATTAATGATTTTGATTACCAGAGCATACGTTACTGCTGAGTTTTTGGTTTAGATGCACACATCTCTATTTGAAAACGTATATGTACCTATTTTATTACGAAGTTACTTAATATAGTTATAATGCAATTAGTATAATGTTAAAATAAGGAAATGAGAGAACTAACTTCCAGAGATAAAATGACGTGGATGTAAGCAACTATAGGTTCCCGTATGGCCTTCAACAATGAGCAAAAACCATGCCGTATAATACGCTTTAAAAGCTCCCGACATTACAACATGTGAAACAATTCAAACGAGAAAAGTTCATGTTTGAACTATAATGGGAAGAAGAAGTGAAAATACATGTTTTCTGAGCTTTCAGATCTGTATGTTATTCAAGTCTACGTTTGTCGTTGTTGTTTGGTATTTCAACATGATTCATTATATCAGTTACATATACTGTATACTGGACTGTTTAGAGAGATCGCTTTCAGAGATTGTTGTGAAATTTTCCACGGATATTTGATGTATGCGGAAGGCATGATCTTATTCGATGCTCGATAGTTAAAAAGTACATATCATTAATGTTAATGAAGCTTATTTTCGAGTGTAAACTAAATGCACCAGAGTTTTTATAAGCTACTTAAGTAAGAACTTCATTAATTCTTTATGGTCACTCAGACACAAAATATGAGCAACTTATGACAAATAGCAAATCAACCATAATAGACCAGGAAATTCATACAATAATTCAATTTATAAAAATCACAAAAGTTCCTTATAGTAAAATATAACTATCTGTATTGGTTTTTAAAATAATAGAATTTATAAAACCTAATCGAGATGTTCACCAAGGGATAACTATAAAACTATTAAAAAAATAATTACTTTTTTTACAGTTTGTGGTATACAAGACCTCTATGCAAGAGTACAGTAAATATTCGGAGCGATTTACACACTGGAGTCAATGTACACTTTCTCTGTAGATACAAAAACTATAAGGTAAGAATTAGTAAAAATCTTTTACATGATCAATTGAACTTTATGGTATGGTATCAATAAAAGCCATATAAATTCTTCATGTACAGCCAAACCTATACATATGTATTAAGGGCCTAGTAACATAATTATTTCGGCCTAAGTCATTTCAATAGTCCATTGTAAATTACAAACAATCACATTGGTATCATATTCCTTACGCCTACGTGTCCAACACATTTAAAATAAGAATTTTGATATTTATCATTAAATCAAACAATGTCCGTCAGCTATTTTGAATGGCATGTTTCCATTGTGAACCGGTTTTATGGTGGCAAGGACAGAGAATACTAGCACATCAACCTGAAGATTTTATGTCAATAAAGATCAATATCTAGTCCAATAAAGATGTGTTACTCGATAATTAATATGTAAAGAATAAATGATCTTTCTTCAGCGGTTTTAATTGTTCTACTCTTTTCTGCAATTGAAATCTGTATTTTGGAACATAAGTAAGATTGTTTAATCATTTTATGATAACCATAAAAACACATCCTGTCAGAAACAAAGAAGGTATGATAAGACTACTTCTTTGCCCATTGATTTCAAAAGTTTTGATTTGAAGTTTTGTATGTATCAAATCAAAATCAAATCAAATCAAATCAAATTTCTTTAAAGTCGGTAAAATAACATGCAATACAGTAAAACATAAGCTCTTTAGATGTTTTTAAACAGGCGTACTAAAGTAAAAACATCACGAATAACACCAGACAAGCATACAAGAACACAGATATAAGTATATCAATACATACACATGACTAGCAAAGCAATACATGATATCAGGATTAAACACATAAATTATCAAAGCAAAGCTAAAAACTAATAACAGAAGCACTAGTTTTTAATAAGCACCAATATTAATATGTCTTATATAACAAATGACATCTGTCATGTCCGCATGTCGTAAGTCTGTCAGACATATTTATATTTTTGAATTTTGTGTTTTAAATTAACATTGGGACTCCGAAGATCTTGCATTTGGAGAAAATGCAAAAACTATAAGATAGGTATATTTTGAGATATTTTAGTTGATAGTGATAAATAAGAAACAGAGTTGCACAAATGGATATCATCCTTCAAGATGACTTATTTGTAAAGATACTAATGTGAATAAAATATTTTTTTAGTAATCCTTTTCATTGTCACTTTGACAAAACTTTATGTGTAAAATTGCAATTTCATCGAAAATAAGTGAAACTTCTGTAAGTCAAACAATTGTTAGATTTTTTTATCCTTCATTTCCTCTGGGCTAACAGGCTGATGTTTGTTGATATCATGTATACTTGGAACAATTTGGAAGTATTTGATAAAAAGGCTTGGACATATGTGTTTTTTAAGGGATAATACACGAGAACAAATAAAAAATAAAAAAAAAGTTGATTCTGAAAAATGAGCAACTATCAACCAAAGGCACGGCCTGGTTTTCATGTCTGAATACATCCTCATTGACAACTTATATTTTATATTAGGTAAAAATTTGTAAAATTTCACACGATAGAGATCACCAAAGATCAGCGACTACTAGTATTTTTACAAAATTCCATCATCATTTAAATAAGATGTACTGAAGAGTTAATGACCTGCGAGTATTTTTGTATCGTAAGATTTTTTTTGTGTAAAGTGCCGCTTACAATATATCCTAATACGAAACAAATGAAAAAGGTGCACCGACAATAATTTTCTTTTATCTTCTGTTTTTGGACCTGGTACAAGTGCGCATTGGTGTAGATAGTTTTATTAAAAAGTAACCCTTCCCCAATTTTTGTATCATAGGTTTGCCACATGGATAATAATTCTGAAACTACAACAAAAAACCTGACCACTTAAAATACCTTGAAATGGGACGCCAGTTTAATTTAAATCAGGTCGAAACTTGATACAGAAAATTTTCTCTTTTAACAAAAGAAAGCAATACGGGATTTTTTTTAACTATTTAACGAAAAAATATACATTAAACAAGACTCTCAATTATTTTATCTGATAGGATGCATTGCAATAGATGTATACAGTTCACCACGTTTTGCTCTGGTGATAATTTTTGTTATAAATTAAAATGTTTAAAAATGAACTTCGATATATTTAATTTTGAGCTGTGTTCCATGTAAAATTAACATTCAATGGATTGAGAAATGGCGTATTCTTTTATTTCTCATTGTTGGATTTTTTCAGTTTGAAGTTCCCCTTATATTTTGGAAGTCCTGAAAGAAGTTCTTTGTTGAGATTAACATTTCTTGTCATTCTGCTTGAACTTAAAGTTTCTAGCTCTCTTTCGTGTTGGCCATTTGCTTTAGTTTACCTTCCGTTCATTGTTTTCTGTGACCATCTTGTTTATCGTGTAAACCTACATTTAAGACTTTGGCTGGCTTTGGTGAAATAAAACTAAGAAAAACTTTAAAATATTTAATTGACTTTAAGCAAAACTGCTCAATAGTATGTGCGACTCATTGTTCTATCTTACTCATCCCTTTTAAGAAAAAAAGACAATAGCTGCAAAAATAGTTTCTCAAACTTATTTTGTTGGAAAATGTAGGTCTGTCAACACAATTTCCAGTACATTCTTGGACACATGATTATTATAACGCAAGTACAGACGTTATATTAAATCAAAATTACAGTATTAAACTTTTATGATCAAATAATATGTATGTTTTTGATGATGTAAAGCTATAATCAAGACATCCATGTAATGGTATTAAGGTCATATTTACATGATGTAGTTAATAGTATGTAAGAGATGCTGACGGTGAATGATTCTTGATGTCTACCAAAATCACGGATCTTACAAAGACACGCAGTGAAAACATAACAATCATCTCTGACATCTCTAGATATCAGAATAGTCGTCTGATTTGTAAACTCACAGATTGTGTCCTATTTTGACTGAGTTGGAATTCGTATGGCGGGTGATGCATGTTTAGCAGGAGACGTTTACCCTGTAAACGCACCAGGTTTCTGTTCTTTTGAAATTCATGCGATTCCTTCAGTTTTTGTGTTTTTGCCCTGATTTGTATCTTCTTAATCGATTTATGCGATTTGAACATCGGTTTAATTAGTGTCGCCTCTAGCTAATCAATCACTGTAGAGTATGATCGTTAGAGATTTATTTTACGAATATAATGAGTCAATAAATTGGTCATGTTTTTTTTCTCTCCTTTATGTGAAGCCATTGTATTAGTTTTATCCACAATATGTCAAAAAATGTCTCCCAATGATCAGTATAACTAGGACCTCTACGGTCATTTTCAAAGTCAGATAAAATGTCTTTTGGAAAGTCAGTCCAAATCTTTGTCGTCAAAACGGTTGATAGTTATCTAATTGGAATTTCAAGGTATGCATAACTTGAGTATTTTCTTTATTTATTATAGTATTGGTTTATGAAAATGTTAGGTTTTCACAAACCAAGGCTATACGTAACACAATCTATATAACGACTGATTAACAGTCAATAGAAAAAAAAAAAAGCAGCAATAAACAAAAGGGGGGAGGTCAAGTTACTCAAATTTATTTTCACTTCAGAATAAATTTTGAAAATCTTATTCCATAATATCTTTGATTGTAATTCTTTAAATCAATGTTTTGATCATTTTGTATTCAACGACTATTATTAATATTCGTTTAAGATCTATTGAACTGTGCATTTTTTAGACGGCGATGTTTCTTTGGCTCCATCATACGGTGTTTATATATCCCAACTCGTTCGTTATGCCCGTGTGTGTAGTGATGTCATTGATTTTAACGAACGTAATCAATGCATCACTGGTAAATTATTTCGTCAGGGATTTCGTTACCATAAATTACGTAAAACTTTTGCTAAGTTCTTTCATAGATACAAAGATTTGATTAGTAAATTTGGCTGTACTTGTAGAAAACTGATTAAAAACGGTATTTTACATCCTAAATTTTACGGTAATATTGTACTTAAAGCGCGGAAATCACTATGTGATCCGTGTAAACTCATCGAACCTTTAAACAAACTTATTAGTAAAGAATATCTTACCAATGTTGTAATTAGATCTTTGAATATAGTTAACATTGGCACTAATATCGATTTTGTCATCAGCAAATTAAAACATAACTAAATTTGTATTCTTTTCAAACGGGATGTATAAAGACACACCCACGTTCGTTTTGATCTATAAAGAGGTTAAACCCCTAACTATCCTACTGTCTGTCGATACATTTATTTTTGGCATTGCACTAGTCATGTCTTCTTTGACTGTCCATGACGTTAAAATACTAAATCCCTGGGATGTGTTTTAGTTGATTTTAGTCTCTGATGCATGATTTTTTATTATTAATTGTTTTGGCTTTTAACTAGCTGTCAGTAACTGCGAGTACTCTCAAATCGTACTTTCTTGTTTATTTGACCTGTTGATACGAATTGTATTGCATTTTTGTTATTTAATGTTATTCAGGGTTATATCTGGTCTATATACCAGCTTTGTTTGGTATTACTATAAACTTTCACTTCGTACTATGAACATCAAAATTATTTATTTTGTAAAAATATTTCCTTTCTCTATTGGAACTGTACACGTATACATAACAACAAAACTATTTTCATTTACCTGTGTTTAAAGTTATTGCAAATGGTTGATATTTTTGTTCGAGCATATTGTTTTTCTTTAATTGTTTAACATTTCATACCGATATAACATGTTACTTTTATTATTCTTCCCTTAGTTTATTTATTTTGTATTTACATTGTATCATAGGTCAAATTTATTTGTTCAGTGTATGTTCAATGGTGTTAATATGTCCTTTGATTGAGTTAAGCTATTTCAGTTGATATTTTATAGTGTGTCTTTCTATGTTATGATGTTACACTATTGTTTCAGAAAAAGGGTGGAGGTTTGGTACCATTAAAACGTGTAAACCCGCTGCATTTGTTTGCACCTGTCCTAAGTCAGGAATCTGATGTTCAGTAGTTGTCGTTTGTTGATGTGGTTCATAAGTGTTTCTCGTTTCTCGTTTTTTTATATAGATTAGACCGTTGGTTTTCCCGTTTAAATGGTTTTACACTAGTAATTTTTGGGACCTTTTATAGCTTACCGTTCGGTGTGAATAAAGAATAGCAGTTTGGACGCACTAGATTTATAACCATAGTGTTATTTTCATATTCATTAAGTTTCGGAAAGAAAATCACATATGTTTTCTATCAACGATCCAAACAACTGAGCAAGTATTCAGAAATTTACTCATCAATGTACTTTTTTTGTTAATATGCAAAATTCTTTAAAACTTCACAATCTAATATAGTATTTCAATAATCACAATATGCATGTCGTATGGAGTAGCGTTTAGAAAGAATGGATTCTTTACCATCACTAAACATTTCTCCAATAATCCAAACCAAAAGACCTATGCTGACATTTACTATCGAAATGCGCAGCTGGTGCAATAAAATTGGTAACGCCAATGTTGTTGTTACTAATATGATGAACGGACTCAACTCCATTGCAACTTCATACAAATGGAAAGCAATAAACTGAGTCCTCGATAAACCGAATGAAGTCCTTGTATGCAGTTGATTGTCTCACGTGTGTTATCAAAATTAAGACAGGAACAATTTCATATGCTTTCGAAAGTCAAAAGTATTTGTTATCTCTACAATATTTATGTTTTAATTTATATAACTTTTTTATTATAGATGATAAAAATGTTTTTCACGAGAAGGATCCAGTATACTTTTCTTCATTTGATAGCAACAAGTATATTTGGTGTACTATATGCTGAAGATTCAATGACTTCATTGGCAACAATTTCATCAGAATCTTCTATGTTGTCAGATGGTGCAACTTCATTGGCAACAACTTCATCAGAATGTTCTTCTATGCTGTCAGATGGTTCAGCTTCATTGGCAACAACTTCAACAGAATTGTCTCCTATGTTGGAAAATGATACAACTTCGTTGACAACCGTTGCTTTATCGACATTAGAAATGTCTGCATTTACCGGAACGAGCCCATCCACTTATTTTACATATGAAACTTCCCAGATAGCAGATTCATTAACGTCGTCAGCTACCGGTGCTAATTTACCTCCGTCTAGTTTTGTACCTGATTTTGCATCTCAAGATACGATTACACCCTTGTCATCCGTTGTCGATGAATCCTTATCAATTTCATTTGGTATGCCATCCTCAACTGCGATAGAGAACGAATCTTTTTCAACTTATCTAACACCAGTATTATTTAACACTGTAAGTGAATTTGCATCTACTGCTATAACACCATCACCTACAATGGCAGACGCATCTTCGTTTCAAGACATATCAATGTCGTTGTCTATTGTTACATCCAACAGTGTAATGACATCGATATATACACATGAATCTTTACAAAGTGATGAAATGATATCGTCATCTTCAGTTGTAGATAATGTATCTAGTGTACTAGAGTCATCATCTGCTTTCGTAAGCGACTCTTTGTCGAGCGATGTAATAACACAATTGTCTGCGACCGTAACGTCATCACCCACAGACGTAATGAATGCCTCGTTTACTGTTGAGTCGGGGTCCTCATCCACATATGTTATGTCAATATCGTCTATGATTGTGACCGATGCTCCATCATCTCCATCACCAGCAGATGTATCAACCCCGTCTGCCACGATAGGCATGTCGTTAGATACTGAAACTATGTCATCATCGTCTGTATTTATTGATCAGTCTTCGTCCACTAATGTAATAACACTCCAATCTACTGCTGTGGCAGAATCGTCATCTCAATTTTCAACTGAATTGACTATCACTGTTGACGAATCGTCATCTACAAATTTCAGTGCTGCATCGTCAACCGTTATGGATGAGTCTTCATCTACTGCTGTAATGTTACAATCGTCTACGGTTGAGGTGGGGTCTTCATCAACTTATGCTGTGTCGACATCATCTATGATTATTACCGGGTCTTCATCCACTGGCGTAATGTTACTACCGTCTACTGGTATGGGCGAGTCTTCAAGTACTGGTGAAATGTCATATTCATCTACCGTTGTCGACGGGGTTTCATCCATTTATATAATGTCCCTATCATCTTCCACTATTACTGAGTCTTCATCCTCTGATATGATGTCACAATCGTTCCCTGCTAATATAGGATCTTCGTCCTATGTTATGTTACCATCGTCTATGATGATGCTAGAATCTTCATCTACAGGTGAAATGTCACTGTCGGTTAGCTTTATTGGCGAGTCATCAAGTATTGATGTAGTGTCACCATTGTATACAGATGCGACCATGTTTCAATCTTCTAATGTACTGTCAGCACCGCCTACCAATATGGGAGAGTCTTTACCTTCTGACGTAATGTTATCATCGTTTAGTGCTGTGACAGATTCTTCGTCCACTTTTATGATGTCATTATCGTCTTTTGTTATTGACGAGGCTATATCAACTGATGTAATGTCACCTTCGTCACTCGTTGTCGAATCTATATCCTCCAATGTAATGACACCATCATCTACCGTAGCAGCAGAATCTTTATACACTACTGCAATAACACCCTTCTCTACAAATGCATTAGAATCTGCAGATGTATTTGAACCCTCTTCTACCATAATACATGTGTCACCATCGTCTACCGTTTTAGGTGAAACCTCTTTATCTATAGAATTTGGATCTACATCCATTGACGTTATGGCATCATCAGCTACCTTCATGGGAGAATTTTCATCTGCAAATGTAATAACAACATCCTCTATGATTGTGGACCAATCTTCATCGACTTATGTTATGTCACCACCATCTGCCATTGTCGACTCTTCATCTGTGGATATTATGACATCTACTGTGGCAGTTGATACTTCAGTTACAGATGTAATGACGTCACTATCTACAAGTGCAATCTTGATAACTGCAATTTCGTCAATGGTAGAAGATAAATCGTCGATAACATCGATATCTACTTCTATGGCATCTAGTTTTGCAGAATTTCATTCATCAGAATATGTCAGTGCTTTTACATCATCGCCTGTAATTGCTGTGTCTAATGAAGCTGGATCATTTTCATCTGTCGACCAAACGATCTCGACGGCAAACATAATGTTACAGTCAGCTTCATCGATAGACTCTGGAATAATGTTATCGTCCACTAGTTATATTTCATCTACCCTGTCCGCTTCTTCCGTTGTCGATATATCACAAGCTATTAGTTCATCTGTTATATCAACACCCATTATAGTGTCGTCGTCTGTTGAATCGATGGCTACATCTTTAGCTGCACAACCGAGTTCAGTTGAATCAATTTTACTATCTACCATGTCTGATATCATTTCATCTACGATGATTGTTGAAACTACTACTCTAGAAACAGCAACAGCAACAACACAGACTGTTACAACTTCAACAGAAGCGGCAACAACTACAGAAACAGCAACAACTCAGACTGTATCAACTTCAAAAGAAGCGGCAACAACTACAGAAACAGCAACAACACAGACTGAAACAACTTCAACAGAAGCGGCAACAACTACAGAAACAGCAACAACTCAGACTGTATCAACTTCAACAGAAGCGGCAACAACTACAGAAACAGCAACAACTCAGACTGTATCAACTTCAACAGAAGCGGCAACAACTACAGAAACAGCAACAACACAGACTGAAACAACTTCAACAGAAGCGGCAACAACTACAGTAGCAGAAACAACTACCAAGGTTGCAACAACAACAGCGCCATCGACGTCAGCTTCGAGTAAGTTATAAAATATTGACGTTATGGTGTATATCTAACTTAAATGGTACTGGTGACTTGTATCACTATACATTTTTTTTCAATTTACATCACATTTTATTTATAAACACCTGTCCAGGGAAGCAATTTACGGTCCCCATATAATTACAGAATCTCACTTGACTCGGAAAATGCAAACGAGGAAAAACTCTCATCGTAAATAATAATATTCTTTATATAGATATCTAAACATCGCAACTTAAATTGTCACTAGCTTAAAGTATATATATAAACTATCTGTATTCCCTAAAAAATTTCATTGTTAATAGCATTTTGATTCTTGCCATTGCTATATAAAGTTAAATATCTTACAAACGGATTTTTAAGATGAAAAGAATGTTACTACCATCAACAGGTCCTTTTGCGATTCAATGGTTGAATTTGGATATGTTAGGAATTTTGCACATAAATATCATACAACTATATATTTCTACACTGATATTCACATTAAATCTTCATATTTGTTAGATATCTTGTAATGGTAAATAACGGAATGCAGTGTAAGTTCTAAACTTGACGTTGTTGTATGTAGCAAAACTAAACTTTAAACGTAATATGGGGTTATTTTGAAAATGATTAATTAATTTTCTTGTCCCTTTAAAAAAATGCAGGAAAATATCAGTGAATGTTATTGTCCGTTTTAGTGTAAATTGCCTGAAGGTTCTTGTGTAATTAAAAGCAAAGTTTTTTATAGCAGTATTTTTTTTTTTGAGCAAGATTATAGTTTGTTGATATTATATTTTATTCGGGATCTTCACAGGGGATATGGGCTCATATTTCCTGTCAGTGTTTTATATCACCTGAGCCGCTAGGCGAAGGGGATATAGGTTCATATTTCCGTCAGTGTTTTATATCACCTGAGCCGCTAGGCGAAGGGTATATAGGGCACTGACAGGGAATATGAGCCAATATTCACTGTGAAGCCCGAATAATAATTACTATAAATAAGAAGATGTGGTATGAGTGCCAATGAGACAACTATCCATCCAAGTCACAATGTGTAAAAAGTAAACAATTATAGGTCAAAGTACGGCCTTCAACATGGAGCCTTGGCTCACACCGAACAGCAAGCTCTAAAGGGCCTCAAAAAGACTAGCGTAAAACAATTCAAACAGGAAAACCAACGGTCTAATCTATATAAAAAACGAGAAACGAGAAACACTTATGAACCACACCAACAAACGATAACCACTGAACAGCAGGCTCCTGACTTAGGACAGGTGCATAAAAATGCAGCGGGTTTAAACGTTTTAACAGGCGGCAACCTTCACCCTAACCTAAACAGTGGTATAACATTACAACATAAAAAGACACACAATAAAATATCAATTGAAATTGCTTAACTAGTATAAAAATTATACTGGAGTGTCCTGATTTCAACACTAATTACCATTTTTAGCTTTGTTTTCCTTCACATGGGATATGGGCTCGTATCTCCTGTTTAGGTAACCAATCAAGTTGCAGGATAAACCGGGTTAACTCACTCCAGTATAATATTACCTCATAGCTGTGTTCTTGAATGCACAGATGTAGCGCAATGGAAATATAGCAAATAATTTTAACCAAACCGGTGCAAGATACCGGATTGAGTTAGCAGTGAGGTAAGAGATTTGATCCATGCCCCATAGCCTCGTTGTTCCTGGAAGGCCAAGAACAGCAAGTATAGCGCTGTTCATTTGCCTTAGTTTTTTTTCAAGTGCGTGTAGGAATTTTGTGCCATTAGTTGATGCATAATATCCTCTCTTTTCCTTTAAAAATTTTCACTTTCGTTCAAACATAGCTAGATATTTTGTGTCCAATTTTAATCTTATACATGACAAACAAAACTATTTTTTTTATAATCCAGGACCATGGATAAATCATTAGACTTAAAGTGATGCTTATCGTGTTCTGGTTGTTATGTTATGCATCTCCCCAGTAGGAATAAATCTTCATTTTGAATTATTCCAAATATTACCTTAGCTAACTTGTGACAGACGGTAATATAATAAGGTTTATATTTTGGATAGTCTAAACTATTTGTCTCAAGTGAACATGAATGTTATTTTTTACACACATATTAAGCTCAACAAAACTATATCAAACATTTGTTATAACTCAAAATATCTTTGTTGTATATATAGATAATAGAGAGCTAAAATGAAAAGAAGGTACCGGTACTATAGGTTTTGATCAGTTTTCATTTCATCGTTGTAGATATTGATTATGTGGTGGTGTTCAGATTAAATACAGCGACATATGATAATGTAACAGAAGCAACTCTAAATGAACCTTCTTCAGACGAATATATACAAATAAAAGTGGGGGTAAGTTTGCAAATACATACTACGATACTGTTCCTCGTAAGTAATTAGATGAATGACTTTTATACTTTTAGCATCTAAAAAAATCTTCATAGATGGTTAATAATGTTTTATATAACATGAAAATCCCGTGTTATTTGTTACATAAACGAACTTCGAAAATATATATACATACAAGTCTAAATTGAAAACAACGTTCAAACCTATGATTGCGATGGATAAAAACCGGATTTCGACAATTAATGCCTCTTCAGTGATGTTAGGAATCGAAACGGTATTTGGAAGACCATATAATTTACCTCAATTTAGGATAGACTCTTGAATTTTGAAGAGTCGAAATTGGATGAACGGATCATATAAACCCGAAGGCAAATATAATACGAGCCCAAACGAAAAAATATAAACAAGTTTGAATTGAAAACAACGATCAAACCTATGATTGCGCGTTGGATAAAAACCGCAATTTTTATACGTGTGCATGGAAAACAAATTTCTTGGTAGAGGGTTCTAAATACAGCACAAACAACATTTTCCAAAAGACCAAAAAGAGAAAAAGTATATTTTAACAAAACGCATTTGACTAGCAGGTCGAACAACGGATGTGCTTAAACCCTGCTGACTGCCATTGGCGATTGCCAAATAAACGGATCACCAGATGTAACAAAATGGATCTTAACTATTAATTTAATACCAAACAGAAAACAATAAACTTGCGGAAAAGATGGTATACCGCAAACAAAAGGTGCAAAAATTAGTAGACCATATCCGGATTTCGACAATTAATGTCTCTTCAGTGATGTTAGGAATCGAAACGGTATTTGGAAGACCATATAATTTACCTCAATTATATATATATTCCTCAACTAAAAACGGTGTCTTCCTGTTGTTCTTACTGCAAAACGAAAGATTGGTTTTGACATATTTAAATCTAAAAGCAAATCTTAAATATTTAGAAAAATAAATTTAATAAATATAGACTATTTTATGGCTTTTTTCAGCTCGATGTATTGTATTAGTTGAGGGTTGATGTGATGTGTGATATTGAAAAGTCCTATCAAATACACTTTAACTGCAACTTTAACTGATATCGATATCATCACATATGCCGATACAGAACGATTATTATTGATTATATTACATATAAAGTTAACGTTTATGTGATACAGAGAATTGTCATATACTTAAAGTAATAACTTTTGATTTCAACATAATGATAATAGCATTAAATTTACAGTAATTCCTTATTTTCCGATTCCGGTTATTCGAAACAGTTTGAATACGTTACAATTAACGCCTTTTATATTTAGCTTGAAGAATATTGGAAGAATAAACTTGGAACAATTTTCGTCAGCATTACAATAACATCAATTAAGTGAGTATAAAAATAAAAAGGACGATGTGGGGTAAACTTTAATGAGATTGCAACCAAAAATATAATCCACAAAACGACGACTAGAGGGACAAGTATAAGGCTTCAGATGGTTACAGAAAACATACCAGTTTTGTTTGTTTCGTAATATTTCTTAAGGAATAGTAAACACATATTTTTTAAAATAAATGTAGAACTGTTCTCCATTGACATCTTATCGATTTAAGCTAATCACATGATTGGTAAATGCTAGAACAAATCAAATTAATCTATTTGGAAAGAAATAGGGTGTGTGATTATTTAATAAAAAGAATATAGCAGATATGATCTTTAACCGGCCTTCAAAACTTCTGAAATTATTAAGGGGTGAATTTACAGCGGAACTTTTTAATACGGCTACTTATAATGCAATTATAAAAAATAAATAAGATTTATAAGTTAACTTTCTCAAACTCAGTGTATGATTGTAATGTAAATGAGAATTTGAAGATGTAAATGTAATTTTATCAAATATCCCAAGGTATGTTTTAGTGCTTACTCTTTATTTCTGAATACTTAACAATACACTTAAGAGTCATTATTTTTTTAGACTAGGAAGTATAATTGCAGACCACAGTGTAACGACAACGACAGATAGTCCTGTCTCCATTGTTAATGCCTGTAACGATCTAGTAAATGGTGCGTCTTCTGTTACACTGTTAACTGCAGCTGGAAACGAATCAATAAAAGCATCTAGTGCTAATATTACGAAAGCTGACTCACCAGGCAATACAGGTTAGAAATACTTTTACATCGCCATGTCCAACCAATTTTTAACTATCACCGTTTTAAGCGATTGGATCCATTCAGGATGAAGATCGCATTAAGCATACTCATCGCAGACTCTTTAAAGCCGTCGACATTATGAGGGATGGACAAGAAAAGTGTCCCTTCCTTAAACTTTTCCTTGTAAACAAAGAGCTATTAATCTGTGCCATATCCTTTAAAACAAAATGTAAAAAGCACATGTGTCCTCTTATTTAAGGCCCAAGGATGTGCCTTACTTTTTAATACATTTATACAATAGTCTCTCCATTCATATAATTACAATTTGTACTTTCGTACTAGCACGCTCGTCTCGAATGCGGAAGATAGTAGGTTCGACCCGTGTCCGGATCAAATAAAGCATTTATTTGCTGCTTCACCAAAAAGCCATGACAATATGGAGTAAGATCAAAAACTTGTCGACTTGGAGAGTTACACTGATCACAGGCGCTTGGGTACAGAATTTGGATATTTGTTTTTCCTTGTTTGCACTGAATATTCAATTTTCTATTTTAATACCACTTATGAACACTATTAAGCTTGTCTTACTTTGTTTTGGATAAATTGATCCACTCTGAAAATATACCTTATTTTACTATCCATATGTTGTCTTATGTATAGTAAAATAAGGAATATTTTCAGAGTGGAAACATTCTGTTCAAACACGGCGATATCTAATCTCAAGTCAAATCATCACTGCAAAAGTTTGAATTTCGCTGTCGAAAATAGGTTTACCAAATGTCTATAACAGTGTTGTTTCTATCTGTCAATGGCTTGTCTGTTCTTCTTTATCCTGAATTCAAATTATGGGTTCCTGTATTATTTCAGGATCTCCTTAAATACAATAATTTTCACTAAATCCGCGCCTCATACAATAAATGTATATTGTCATTTCTTTGTTCAGAATTTCGCAAGTATTAGTCAACTTTTAATTGAGACCATATCTTTTATGATGAGCAAAGACAATTTAATCCAGTATATTTACATAAAAGCAATATTTTGTATGAAAATTATTTTTCATATAAAATTTCGAAAAGGGCAATTGTCTGATTGATTTTGTTCAAAATATCCAAAGAAATGTTATTCATTTTTTATCACTCCGTAATGAATGGTGATCATTACGTAAAAAAATTCAACTTATATTTGTGAATTAGTGAATTAGTTCACATTGACACAGTCTTAAACATAGAATTTAAAGTTATAGACTGGTAAAGAAAAAAAATGTATATGTCAGGATGGATTTTGATATTGAACAACAGTCAGTAAATTACATTAAGATTGGTTATATTGATGAACAGGGACCTCAGTCAAGAGTTGAGAAATAGAAACTATAATATTTATTTGAAATGTGAAATACCAGTCCGAACAGATTACAAGAGCTAAATTGTTCATTCCCTGAGCTTCAGATATAAAGCGCGAAAATTGACATGTGATGACTATACGCGTCTTTGTGTCTTTAGAATGCTTACTTTTAGCTATATATAACTATTCTAATGTGCTATGAAATTACTTTAAACACGAATGTGCTATGAAATGACTATTAAACTTTTAACCATGATGAAAGTTATGACTTTAACTTTGCCAGGTCAAACCTACTGTCCTAAGCCCGGATAAATTAGAAGGGAAGTCATAAGAAGCAAATATTGTAAAAGCGCAAATGTCCTATAAATTGAAGCGCATATGTTCATAAAAAAAGCGCAAATGTCCTATGAAAAAGCACAAACATCACGCGCCGATGTGTTTAGGGGTAGTGTCATGAAAAAGGAAAAGCAATCAATAAATCACTTATCCATGCATTTATAATTTCTGTAAATGTTTTTATTTAGCTTACATACCGAAGTCAGCTCAGTCAACAGATTTGTGCACTGCCTTGAATGAATTATCACCATGTAGTTCTGGCGAGGAATGCCAAGTTACCAATGGACACCCATCGTGTGTTGCTAAAAAGTAAGATATATAGACTGTAAATTTTTATGACTGTTTTTTATAAATTAGGTAAACAGTGACGGGTGCTAACAACATGTACATGCATTTATTATATACCTAAAAGAGACAATACATTATAGTTGAATAGTTCTCACATATAAGTCCCATTTCTTCATATCTAGTTTACTTTAAGTAACCGTCAATAGAAGTCAATAAACAGCATTCAATTAACAATAAACAATTGTCTGTGCAATTTGCCCAGCTCTAAACCACCCCGAGTCGAGAAAAGTTAATAAGGCAGACTAAGAACTGTCATGAACACCTAATTCCTTAAACGACAAATCATTGCGAGTAAGTTTAAACAACCTCTACTATCTTTCCGACTTATGACAGGCTCATAAAAGAAGGAGAAACAATAAAAGAATGCAATAATCCCTGGAATTAGGAAAAGAACCATGGATAAAAACATGCCGTCAACTGTTCCGTAGAAGCAAAATCAAAAGCAAAGGAACAGTTTTTTTTAAAATTGTTCTTCGTGTAAAAGCCTGGCACCTGTTACATGAAAATTATTTGCGGGGTGTTGTTCACGCTACATCTGATCACATCTGCAAGGTAATATTTACAAATTATAAACTAATTTGGGAAAAGAAATTTAACAAATGTTATTATAAATTGCCCTACAATCTCACCACAACAGTTGAAAAGCAATACAAAAATTTAGTCAAAGATTGGGCACATGGGATGGCTGAAAGAATGAAAGGGAAGTAGTACGTATCAGAGAAGTTATCTAAAAGAATACACGTCATATAAACTAAAATAATTTACTTACATATCAACTACAACAGGAATTGTGGGATAAACAACCATACAACAGAAAAATCACAAGACATCTAGAAGATTACATATAGTCTTCAACAATAGACAAGAGCCTATACAGTATGTCAATCTTTAAATAGCACTGAATCTTGAAAATGTACCTATATATTGACCATGAAGTTGAGAGAAATTAAGATAATTTTGTGAAGTAATGAGTTAACACCATATCACTATTTAATTCATTTACTTTTCTTTCTTTTATTAGGGTTTACTCATCAGATGGTAAGTACATCTCTATATTAACTAGATATGATAACTAGCTCTTACAGAATGTCATATTGAGGTTACCATTTATACTCCTGATGAAACGCAAACGGGACGATTAGGTGCAGTGGTCATGGCATTTTTTTTACTTCGTTCTACGTTTATATATATTGTTCCCTTGGTATCTTAACCCTTTTTTCTATTGCTCCCTTGGTATCTTACCCCTGTTTTGTCTGATAGCTCCCTTGGTATTGTATTCCTGTTTAAACTGTTTGTTCCCTTGGTTTCTTATATGTGTTCCCTTAGTATCTTACCCTTGTGTTTTGTCTGTTAGCTCCCTTGGTATCTTACCCCTATTTTGTTTGCTCCCTTTGTATCGTATCCTTGTTTTGTCTGATTGCTCCTTTGGTATCGTATCCCTGTTTTGTCTGTTTGCTCTCTTGGTATCTTATCCTTGATGTGTCTGTTTGCTGCCTTGGTATCTTCTCCCTGTTCTATCTGTTGGCTCCCTTGGTATCTTATCCCTTTTTTGGCTGTTTGCTCCCTTGGTATCTTACCCTTATTTTGTCTGCTCCCTTTGTATCGTATCCTTGTTTTGTCTGATTGCTCCCTTGGTATCGTATCCCTGTTTTGTCTGTTTGCTCTATTGGTATCATATCCTTGATTTGCCTGTTTGCTGCCTTGGTATCGTATCCCTGTTCTATCTGATTGGTCCCTTGGTATCTTCTCCCTTTTTTGTCTGTTTGCTCCCTTGGTATCATCCCTTTTTTAGCTGTTTGCTCCCTTGGTATCTTACCCCTATTTTGTCTACTCCCTTTGTATCATATCCGTGTTTTGTCTGATTGCTCCCTTGGTATCGTATCCCTGTTTTGTCTGTTTGCTCTCTTGATATCTTATCCTTGATTTGTCTGTTTGCTCCCTTTGTATCGTATCCTTGTTTTGTCCGATTTCTCCCTTTCTATCGTATCCCTGTTTTGTCTGTTTTTCTCTCTTTGTATCTTATCCTTGAATTGTCTGTTTGCTCCCTTGGTATCTTCTCCTTTTTTTGTCTGTCTGTTCCCTTTGTATCGTATCCCAGTTTTATCTGATTGGTACCTTGGCATCTTCTCCCTTTTTTGTCTGTTTGCTCCCTTGGTATCTTATTCCTTTTTTGGTTGTTTGCTCCTTGGTATTTTACCCCTTTTTCGTTTGATAGCTCCCTTAGTATCTCATCCCTTTTTTGTTTGTTTGCTCCCTGAGTATCGCATCCCTTTTTTGTCTGTTTGCTCCCTTGGTATCTTATTCCTTTTTTGGTTGTTTGCTCCTTGGTATTTTACCCCTTTTTCGTTTGATAGCTCCCTTAGTATCTCATCCCTTTTTTGTTTGTTTGCTCCCTGAGTATCGCATCCCTTTTTTGTCTGTTTGCTCATTTGTATCTTATCCCTGTTCTGTTTTGTCTGTTTGCTTCCTTGGTATCTTATCACTTTTTTGTCGGTTTGCTCCCTTGGTATCTTATCCCTTTTGTATCTTATCCTTTTTTTTTTTTATTTGCTCCCTTGGTATCTAATCCCTTTTTTGTCTGATAGCTCCCTTGGTATATAATCCCTTTTTTGTCTGATAGCTCCCTTGGTATCTAATCCCTTTTTTGTCTGATAGCTCCCTTTGTATCTTATCCCTGTTTTGTCTGATAGCTCCCTTGGTATCTTATCCCTTTTTTGTCTGCTTGCTTCCTTGGTATCTTATCCTTTTTGTCTATCTATCTATCTATCTTCCCGTCAAGGATCGGACTCATTTTTGAGTGTATATACTCCAGCGTGAGTGAACAGCTAAAAACCTTCAAGTATGTACAGTTAAAATTAGATCTGTATGTACAGTTAAAATCAGTGCTGTTATTTAGATGTGGAGTAGTGTCGACACGCTGACATCTTGGATAGCGTGTCGAAAATGTTCCACAGACGGGGAAGCTCGGATGTCTGGAGGTATGTTGTTCCAGGATATCATGGTGGTAGGAATGAATGAGTACTTGAAACAATCCAGTTTGGCCCTTATCTGTCTGATGTTATTAGACACGGAACCACGGGTTCTGGTGTTATGGTGGTTGTGCAGGTGGTGACATGATTTATTATTTTGTAGAACATGATAACTCTGTTTCTGGCTCTTCTGTGTTCCAGTTGTTCCCAACATTGTTGCTGAGTCATTTTGGTTACGCAACCAGGTTCCCTCGAGAAGAATTCCCCCATTGCAAATCTGGCAGCCTGGCGTTGTACGGTTTGCGCGTTGTTGGATTTGCTGATGCTGATAAGGATCCCAGACAGCACTGGTATACTCGAGGACAGGCCTCACTAAAGTTGTGTAGGCTTGACTTTTTACTTCCTGAGGTTCCTACGCAGGAATTCGACAGATCTGGAGGCTTTTGCTGTGGTCTGGTTAGCGTGTTCACGCCAAGACAGGTCCTTGCTGATGTATAAACCAAGGTATTTCGCTCCTGGGACGCTTTCAAGGGTGTGGCCGTGCAGATGGTAATCGCATATGGTGGGTTTGCGTTTCTTGCTGATATGGATGGTGGTACATTTCTGTGGGTGGATTGCCATTTTTCCAATCGTTTTCCCATTTTTCTAGTTTATCTAAGTCGTCTTGCAACTTGGTGGAATCGCTAGTGGATCGAATAGGACGATACAACAGGCAGTCATCAGCAAAAAGTTTCACGCTATAATAAGTTAACAGATTCTGGGAGGTCGTTTATGAAGACGAGAAAGAGCAGGGGTCCCATTACTGTACCCTGTGGTACACCAGACACTACATCTGCTTCGTCTGTCGTTGTTCCCTCCACTAGGACATGTTATTTCCTACTGTTCAGGAAGCTCTCCACCCATTTGAGATTAAAGTCACTGACTCCGTAGAATTATAGCTTATGGAGAAGTCGCTTGTGTGGCACCTTATCAAAGGCTTTGGCAAAGTCTAATAGTATTGCATCAAATTGTTGGCCATCTGATTAGCTGTGTCTCACAAGAGCGTTTGCTGCGAAATCCGTGTTGGGCTGGTGTTAAAATGGAGTGCTCTTCTAGATATTTCATTATCTTCGAGTGGAGTATGTGCTCCATCACTTTGGAGCAAATTGATGTTAGAGACACAGGACGGTAATTTGCCGCTGTACTATTGTCTCCTTTCTTGAAGAGGGGCACCACATGCGCCATGCGCCAGTCATCTGGGACTTGCCCTACATTAATTGATAATTGAAAGATGTGTGCAAGAGCAGGCGCTAATTCCGATGATAACTCTGTTAGTAGGCGAGACGATATCGAGTCTGGTCCTGTTGTCTTGTGTGGGTTTAAGTTTTTAAGAAGCTTGGCAACACCTGAGGTTCCGATGATAATGGGTGCCATTTGTCGATAGGGACTAGGTCCATTATCTGGCATTGTGTTAGTATCCTCCTCTGTGAAGACTGATGCTTCCTGTTTCCCACTTTTTACGAAGGACCAAAACGTTTTAAGGTTCTGCTTCGCTTCCGGGCTAATGATGTCTTTAACATAATTGCTGTGAGCCTGTCTGATGTTGCGTTAACATTCTGCTTTAAGATGTTTATACCTGCGAACCTCTCTAGTGCTCTTTGTGGCATTTGCTTGTTTAAAAGCGCGGTCCTTGCGTCGTGCAAGTCGGCGTGTTTCTGTGTTCATCCATGGATTTGTGTGTCGCGAGCTCCCTTGGTATCTTATCCCTGTTTTGTCTGATAGCTTCCTTGGTATTATATCATTGTTTTATCTGTTTGCTCTCTTTATATCTTATCCCTTTTTTATTTGTTTGCTCCATTGGTATCTTACCCTTTTCTGTCTGATTGCTCCCTTGGTATCGTATCCCTTTTTTGTTTGTTTGCTCCCTTGGTATCTTACCTCTGTTTTGTCTGTTTGCTTCCTTTGTATCGTATCCCTTTTTTGTCTGTTTGCTCCCTTGGTATCATACCCCTTTTTTGTCTGTTTACTCATTTGGTATCTTATCCTTTTTTGTCTGTTTTCTCTCTTGGTATCTTATCACTTTTTTGTTTGATTGCTCTCTTGGTACTTTATCCCTTTTTTTGTTTGATTGCTCCCTTAGTATTTTATCCTTTTTGTCTGATTGGTCCCTTGGTATCGTATCCCTGCTTTGTCTATTAGCTCCCTTGGTATCGTACACTCTTTTTTGTCTGTTTGCTCCCTTTGTATTTTATCCTTTTTTTTTCTTTGATGCTCCCTTGGTATTTTATCCTTTTTGTCTGATTGGTCTCTTGGTTTCGTATCCCTGCATTGTCTGTTGCTTTCTGGGTATCGGATCCCTACTTTGTCTATTAGCTCCCTTAGTATCGTATCCCTTTTTTGCTTCCTATATATCTTATCCTTTTTATATTATTTTCTCCCTTGGTATCTTACCCCTTTTTTGTCTGATTGCTCCATTGGTATCGTTCCCGTTTTTGTCTGTTTGATCCCTTGGAATCTTATCTCTTTTTTGTCTGATAGTTTCCTTGGTATCTTATCCCTTTTTTCTCTGAGCTTCCTTGGTATCTTAATCCTTCTTTTTGTCTGACTGCTCCCTTGGTAATTATCCTTTTTTGTCTGTTTGCTCTTTTGGTATCTTATCACTTTTTTGTTTGATTGCTCCCTTGGTATTTTATCCTTTATGTCTGATTGGTCCTTTGGTATCGTATCCCTGCTTTGTCTATTAGCTCCCTTGGTATCGAATACCTTTTTTTTGTCTGTTTGCTCCCTTGGTATTTTATCCTTGTTTTATTTGATTGCTCCCTTGGCATTTTATCCTTTTTGTCTGATTGCTCCCTGGGTATCGTATCCCTTTTTTGCTCCTTATACATATTATCCTTTTTTTTCTCTGGTAGCTGTCTTGGTATCTTATCCCTTTTTTTGTCTGATAGCCCCTGAGTATTTACTTTTTATAAACACCCATTCTAACCGCATCAACTCAATAACAGTATATTAAATGGAAAACTTAATCTCGTAATTTCCCTACTGGTATCATATCAATACTTTTTTATATCATTTTGTTTGTTGATAGTGTAATGCTTAAAAGACAGGCGGAAGATACCAAGGGGCGATCAAAACTCATGTCGAAGATAAACTGACAACGCCATGGCAAATAAACGAAAACGACGAAAAGACTAGCATATCCACAAATCTCTACATAGAAATCTTAAGATTGAGCAATAAATAGTTAATAAACTACATGATAAATCCATCACATTTCAGCAAAGTAGAACTGAATCGTTTGAGTTGGAGTAAGTTTTACGAGTATATCAATTGTCATATATATTCCTATCATTATTGGATTATCTTTTTTTGTTAAACATTGAGATTAAAGTTTTGGAGGTTTATTCAGTTTTTATAACATTAGCTACAACTATAAATTTATCTTTTTCAGATAATATTCCTTTAATAATGGGAGTAAGTATTGGAGGTGTACTTTTCCTAATGACAGTTGCTATAATCTTGATGATGGTGGCGATGTACGCAAGAAGACGACGACAAAGAAGAAGGGGATACAAGTCAAGAACAAGGTTTGACCACATTAGTTTTAATCCCATACTGTTACAGACATCCCACTAGAAATCACTTAATTTTGTTTGTAGTTATAAAAAATATAGCTTTTCTTTTCTATAAATGACTTTTTTTATTTTGTTAACAAGGCTCCTATTGAGTCCCTGAAAAGAGTCAATAGTGCATTTTGGTACTACATATGATGATGACAAAATTACACCAACACCTGAAATCTCTTTCAAATAGTGTATAGTTTTTCTTTCTGTTTCAGTAGTGATGCAGACACTCCATACGGTATTGGATTAAAATATCATCCGTTCCAAGCTGAAACTTATGCCGGTGGACCAGAATACTACAACAGAATGTTTATGGGAGCTGGTGCATGGTCAGGTTAGTACATGTATAAGGAGATATGGTATGTATGATTGCCAATGAGACAACTATCCATAAACCTAAGGACAAAGATGGGAACTAACAGGAAACGTAATGCCTTCAACAATGTGCAAAATACTTAACGTATATATAAGCTGTAAATAATTCATTTGTAAAATATATCTGAAATCAAATAAAAATATTTCATTACTACATTGTAAGTTTGGTATAAACTTGCACGTGTATTACTATTTTTAAATTTTTTAAATTGAGTTGTTTAATATGCGTCAATGAAATAGCTAACCAGTTTGTATTTGAATGCTAAATGACGCACTATTTAACGTTTTCCCTACTTCTATGGTGCTATAGGAAGTATAATTTAACATATTCTTTCTTAAATGAAAGCACTACATTCCCTTTCTTTTTCTTGGGAGAACCTCTATCGTGATATTTTATATATTATTTTTCAATTTGATTTTATTTCGGTGAAAATAAAAATGCAAGTCTAGATATATTTAATTAAAATTAATGGTATAAAAGGTTGTGGAGTTATTATATGTTTATGGGTATGATTGATATACTTAAACTTATCGTGCATGAAACCCGTATTTCAGAATCAGAATATCCTAATCAAGCATACATGATGAAAGATGTAAGTACATTTTATTAGTTTTAACTTTTTTTCAATTTGCTTGATTAATGTTTGATTTAAATCAACTAGAACACACCCGCAACATCGGGGGTCCGTGACTGAATTAAAGTACCTACGCTTTATATTTAGCCTGGATTTTTAGTTTCATATTGTCGTCTGATAAAGTCATGCTGCTTATAAGGTGCTGTTTTCTCTGCTTTCAAAATTGTCTGTTTGAACCCGTCCTGGTTTTCTTACTACAGTATGTCCTTACTGGTTTCCCCTTCGTTGACATTGCATTTGTGCGGCATCCGGGGTGACCTTGTCCCTTATTTTTTATTTGATTGTTTTTTATATTTCGCATTTTTTTATAGTTTGAGGATGAGCGAATCAGGAAAGTGTGTGTTCGAATGTTTTATTGCATTGTACTTATCGTTTTGGGGAAGGTTCACTTTCTGGTAGTAAGACCCGTCACGGCCAGACTGGGAAACTGTGTAGGCAAATGCTCACATTAAATCTGTACCGATACAGTGTGTTATATGTTCTCCTTTACACCTTTTATGGTGGTGATCCTAATAAAGGAGGAAGATATAGAACATACATACATAAAACCGGAAACTACATGTGACATATACTATTGGTATCGGTATCGGTATCGGATTCAACCCGGAACTTGTTAATATTTGGTAATATTAATTATGTGGAAAACAAAGGAACCTCTAAAGGTGTAATTTTTAATCAACACCACTGTCTTATATTAGTTATATATAAAGTTGAATTCTTTGATTCGTCGTTTTTACGTCATGCCGGCTAACAAATTGGACCTCGTTATTTTAGTATTATAGATAGGCAAATATGTAGCATATTCAGAAAAAGATTTAATTTGATGACCTATTAGATTTCATAATGGAAATGAATAAAGAAGGTGTGGGATATACGTCAATGAGACAGCAGACCAATGACAAACATAACAATATTATATCATTGATTTTTATGAATTGTCTTCCTGAAATTTATGTATATTTCTAACTCTCAACTACCATGGGAATATATTTACAGAATAAGTAATATTATACTAAAAATGTGAATCTTCGTTAATTGCTTGTATCATCTGGCATAAGACATGAAGTAAAATAAATTTAGAATAAGCTTTAAGTTAAAATCTACTAAAACAAACTTCATCAACTTTATTTTTATCTATTTGTAGTTTCAAATAAAGCGACCACAAATAGATGTAGGTTACAACGCCTCATGATAAAGGTCAGTATATATATATATATGAGGTAAAATAATTCTCCGTGAAATATTTGATGTTTGGGGTAGTGATATTTTGATATACCAGCCTTTATCGCCAGACTTCGAATTCAGTCTGTATTGCTTGCTCGTTTTCCGTAGTGTTTGTAGTGTTATAGGGTCTGATGAACGAGTCTCGGTCATGATCGACAGATATTTTTTTCCAAACGAAAACGGAGGAGTCATTACAGTCTGTACGACATCATATTGTAAATCGTTTCGCAAAATTGAAGCGGAATAATGGACAACTGTAAATGAAGATCGGGGTAGTGATATTTTGATATAAAGAATATATGTGACAGGTAGGCTATACGGGCTTGTGGATGTGAGTTTCTTTTTCTCGCCACTCCTTTATTCAAGCGTTTGGATTATATTAAAATCCGGGAGTTAACTCCTTGACAGTAAAATCACGATATACGATGGTTATGGGGTGTTTTAGGGGGTAGAGAATTAAAAAGTTTATAAATGAACGGAAAACGGTCGTGAAATCTTTCAAGAATTTTGTTAAAATCTTGTGCAATTCATAGAAATGATTTGTATTATTGTTCTCTTTGTGTGATGAAAACCATGCAGTCCAAATTATCAGTATATATTGTTACTGAGATGTTATTTTGTAATTTTTTGTCATAAGGCTAGGCGGATATATAAATACATAGTCACGTTTGCCCTTGTGATCAACGTTAATTCTTTTGACTGTGCGGGATGAACAATACGTAGCACTTTACATTCCGCCAAACAGGTAAATAATTTTAAAAAAAGTTATCATATTTGTAGGGTACCCTGCTTTCTTTGGTGAGCATGTATTGGGGTGATATGTTTATGGACGTGCATGTGTGGCACGGGTGCCTTGTTTTCTGGACGTGCATGTGTATGGTTGCCATTTTTTCTGGAAGTACACTTGTGGGAATTTGCAATATTTTTTTAAGAAGAACAAGCGCTCATGCAACAACTCATGCTTTTTTTACTGTGTAGGATACATGTGCTTGTTTCAAGACCAGGATATGACATTAAATGACCAATTACTCCACTGATAATTGATGGAAGAGATTTTTTTTCCAAAAAAAAAAAGGGCTGTACATAAAGACATTAATCTTTTGATAACGTTTGATGTTAGAAACATGGTTATTCTCATCCTTTTAGCCAGGCGAGCCAAAACAGGAGAAATGAGGAAGATTCAAACTTAACTAGTCCAATGAGAAAAACATTTGATAATTATATATGTTCTATTTAAATAAATCATTTTGTTTATGTCAATCCTATATTAAATGCAAAACGCGATATAATACAGCTGGACGTTAAAAATCCAAAATAGAGATTTTAAATGAAGGCCACTTTTGTTCCTCTTTAATTTCCCATTAAAATCATTCCGAGGCAACAACGAAACCAAGCAACAACAACAACCACAAAAAAAAAAACCAGCAACCAAAAAAAATAAAGCACAACTTTTTGATATCACCACTCTGCAGTATCATTTTTTTAGAATGTATTGCTTAAGGTGTTAAAAAATATAACTCTGTGTTATTTAATCTTTTACAGGTTGTTTCCTAGCCAGAATGTCCAAATTTTATAAAGGAAGGTTGTATGGGAAATTATAATGTGCAATATTTCCAATCAAAACAATAGTAGCCCATACCGTAAAATGATTGATGATAACGTTTTCGAATTGAGTATTTCTGTATGAAGTTGTATATCAACTGAAACAGAATCTCGAGTTAACATTAAGACATTGAAAGAGACATATTGGTGCTAAATGTATATTTGCTTCCTATGTTGTTTATGTGTATTTTATGATAAACTTTCTAAAGTGCTGTTGGTAACTTCAATTTACAGAAAGTAACTTTATTTTTAAAACCTGATTAGCGGTAATGTGTATTAAAATTTGACCTTAATGGATCCCTTAGAAAATATCAAGAGCAAACGTGTACACTAGTATATGTTATTGAGTTATTAAAGAAAAAAACAGTAATTGATCCGATATGTATCAAAAATCGACTTTTTATGTAAAAGTCAATGAACGACAACTCAAAATTAATTTCATTTTTTGTAAAAATGTACTGGAAAATACCAACTACATAACGTCATGTTGTTTTAAGAGATATATTTGTACTTGTCATGCTCCTCGAAAAAAAAAATTGGGAGCATATAGTAATCGGTTTGTCTGTTCTTTCGTCCATGTGTCCGAAACAAATAGTTTCGAGATAGTAAATTGAATATCCTTTGCCTATTTTGAATGAATATTGTACAAGTGTAACATATACAAGAGTGGAAGAAGCCTACTGATTTTGGGCAATATGTGAAATGTCAACAGTAAAGGTCACTGCTATTGAAAGTGTATTTTTGAAAAATGTTTTCGGATAGTAACTCGAGTCTCCCTTGCTTGATTGGAATAAAACTTATATAGGAAAGGAGAATTAGCCTGTAAATTATGGGTCAATAGGTCAGAGGTCAAGGTCACTCTTACTGAAATAGAAAAATAATGGAACTTTTTTTTTCCGATTGGTAACTTGAGTTGTTCTTTCCTGATTGGAATGAAAGTTAATCAAATGAAAGATGCAGGGAAGGGGAAGAAGCCTATTAACATTGGGTTCAAATGGTCGAAGGTCAAGGTCACTGTTTCTACTAAATAATGAAATTTTGTTTTACAGTTTGTTTCGGTATGGTATCCCACTATGAATTTTAACATAATATACAGGTGAAAAATTGCAATAATAGTACATGATTATTTCCTCCTCCAAGCATACTAGTATTTTGTACCCTTGAAATAAAAATGTTTATCTCAATATATGTGCAGTTCGGCATAAGTTGGCAGTTCTACCTTTCTACGCCGTGTATTAAAAAACTTAAAAGAAAGACCTATGCTCATATTTAAGTATGTGTCACGAGTCCACTTACTGACAGTCTGCTGGCAGATTTGTGTTCACAATTATGAAGTTGTCATTCATTATAGTGTAGTATCATTTCATTATTTAAACGATATTTCAGTATTTCTGAAACTAAAGAGTTAGAAATTACGAACAATTAAACTGTATACAATGATACGTTAACGTTTTAACTATAAATATTGTAGATTTTCAATATAAAGACTTTTCAAGTGTGTATTTTTCAACCATTTTTATGAACCATCAGTGTGTTTATATTTGCTTTTTTACTTATTATAATAAGATAAATATTTAATACAGCATTTTTCTGAGCATTAAATAATCAAATTTTTGTAATAATATACGAGTTTTAAACTGTTTTTAAGTTAATGTGCATATATAACGAAACAAATGCAGGTATTTGTTATAAACATTATGTATCTTATGTTCTTTGAATTGTTTGTCTTCAGTCTAATTTCGGGGTTTTGGGGTTGTTTGTTTTAATTCTAATTGGTTTAGACGGGCTAAGAGACAAATATCGTTTTAATATTTAAATATTGGTACTATCATAGAGAGATGCTTACTGTGTCAATGTTTTTGTTACAATATATTTATAATGTCGTATTTTATTTACTTTGTCTTTGTTAAGTTATATCTATAATGTCTATATTATTGTCTTTGTTACATTATATCTATACTGCCATACCTTTTTGATAAAAAAAAAGTATTCTATTTCGACAATTGCCTCTTTATATGCCAAGTTATTATGGTCAACATTCAATTAGTGCTCGACATTCAAAAATTATTGCACGACTCGGGGAAATATACTTAAATTGTATGTACACTGAGATCTTTGCCATTTTTCAAGTAATCATATCAGATACACACCGCCCAATTTAAAAGGTAGTTTCACGGAAACGATATGGCCGGTAACGATGAACGACGAAAACCGAGAAATGTCAAAATTTGATTACTTCAAAAACCAGAATAATTGAAAAGTTTTTTGGTACTATAATTTTCAATTATCTTTTAAATCTAAAAAATACGACCGACTGCATAGTGTCTTACTTTATATTAACCAAATGCAATGCATAACACACAGCTAATTTCCATGTGCATATAAGTAGATAAGTTAAGCATGTTTCGATTATGGATCCGTGTCTGTACCTTTACGACCCATATTAACAATACTTGCACATTGACCTCAATGTTATATGCATGTACCAATATTGGACTAAACTTTTGTCTATGGCAATATATATGATAAGTCATTTATATTTGGTATGTGAATTCATGTGTTTCTGACGGGTGTCAATTGTTCTCAGTCTCAGTTCCATAGTTCGCTGACCTTTCAGGATTCAAATATTGCAGCAGACAAAACATGTGTCAACGCTGTTATCATGGCTTGTCTTGATGTCACAGTTCAGTAAGAAAACCATGGTTTAAATGTGGCCACTTGTTTTTGTAGGATGTGTAAATACGCAGCAACGTGCAGTTTGAATTTGAATGTTTACTTAATTCAACTGCCACTTGTAAAAAACTGTCCCATAATCTCATGTTTAAAAATTGTTATTAAAACCAAGTTGGTCGAAAAGGTAATATGTGATGAAAAGAAATGTGATGTTTTGCAGGCAAAACTTCTGCCCCTATAACAAACATGACCTCGAATTGCTGGCAGGAGCGGATCCAGCCATTTTTAAAAGGGGGTTCCAACCCAGGATAAAAAAGGGGGTCCAACCATATGCCCCCATTCAAAAGCATTGATCGTAAAAATAAAGGGGGGTTCCAACCCCGGACCCCCCCCCCCCCCCGGATCCGCCACTGTTGCTATTATCTTATTTGGTCGATTTGAAGACAACTTCACTAAAAGAGAAAACTCAGTCCGTACGGCCTTCAGCAATGAACAACCCATACGGTATAGTGTATAGAAGCTAGAAAAGGCCCTGGCATGAACAAATAAATAAACTATTCAAATGAGAAAACAAGCGGTCGAATCTATCCTAAATCCACAAACCAATAAACAGCTGCGCCATGAGCGCATGATACGCCCGTCGCTTTTTCAAAGAATAAATTTCAATAACTTCTCAATGTCATATCAGAAATTAAAAAAAAAATAAATAAAGGGACGTTATCTTAATAGATATAAACCAGTCACCAAAGTTTCACGAAAACTGCTCAAAGCACTTTAAAGATATTGTTTGAAAACTGGAAAATCACCCCTTTTTATGAATAAAACCCCATAACTCGGAAAAGTAAAATCTAAAATTTATAAAAATCGAAAAGGAGTTTACGTCAATAGATATAAACAATTCACCAAAGTTTCATGAAAACTGCTCAAAGCATTTTTGAGTTATTGTCCGAAAACTGGAAAATCCCCATTTTTTTAATGAATAAAACCCCATAACTCGGAAACGTAAAATCAAAAATTTATAATAATCGAAAGGGAGCTCATGTCAATAGATATAAACAATTCATCAAAGTTTCTTGCAAATTGGTAAAAGTGTTTTTGAGTGATTGTCAGCCGAAAACTGGAAAACCCCCATTTTTAATGAATAAAACCCCATAATTCGGAAACATAAAATCTAAAATTTATAAAAATCAACAGGGAGTTCATGTCAATAGTTATAAACAATTCACCAAAGTTTCTTGCAAATTGGTGAAAGAGTTTTTGAGTTATTGTCCGAAAACTGGAAAATCCCCCATTTTAATGAATAAAACCCCCATAAATAACAAAAGTAAAATCTAAAATCTATAAAAAAAAAGAAAGGGAGCTCACGTCAATAGATATAAACAATTCACCAAAGATTCATGCAAATCTATACTACTAAAGGAAGAGACCGATTTCATTGAGCCGCAACTCCTCTGAAACCATACAAAGTCTGAAATATTTGTAATATGACGTATAAATGTAGTGTTTTGTACTTCCTAAATTTGTCTTTGAAAAAATCTTTTTTCCACAGAAAACGACACTGAATTTTTGAGAAAATATCCAAATTCGGAGACCGTTATCGATCCGTCTCTTATACGCTTTCGCGCATGCTCAGTCGACGTACTGCCCGCAGATTTTAACTTATATATAAATAATATAGGACAATGGTGTAGATTAAAAATAACACCTTTCCAGCCCCTTTTGTTTTCCACATAATTAATATTACCAATAATTAGCAAGTTCCGGGTCGAATCCGATTTCCAAAAGTATATATGTCACAAAATTACCTGATCCCTGTTACCTAATCTGTACGTTCCGCCTATGTCAGGCGCACAACCAAACGGTGTATTCAGGATTTGCTATAAACACGGGTAATGATCACACCTGAACTTCGTCATTATACATGGAACAACTGTGCACCTTATAATCAGCGTGACTTTACCAAATGACAATACGAATTCTAAAAATCCAGGCTAAAAATAAGGCGTAGGTTCTTTAATTCAGTCACCGGGACCCGCGGGTGTTTTTGAGTTATTGTCCGACATGTGGACGACGGACGGACAACAGTATACCATAATACGTCCCGTAAACGGGCGTATAAAAACAAATATTGCAGGCAGCAATCAACAATACCCACTGAATTACAGGTTCCGGACTTTGGACAGCCACATACAAATGTGGTGGGGTTAACAGGTTTCTGATCGCTTAACACTTCTCCAGTTGAGAAACCATTTAATCATTATAACAGCGACATTTTGATCAAATATTGCGTTAAATTATGAATGCGGGTGGGGGGTTGTAACCAAAATGGCAGCTGTCAACCGAATGATTGGCTGTTTAAAAATATTTGTACAGAAGGTCATTCGAACATGATCCATTATTGGGTGTTTCCAGATCTTACAGGAGTGACAAACAAATGAAACGGTGCAAAATAAGAGATATGGTTTTAATCAGATTGATACTCAGATTTCTTATTTAGTAAATACTTGGTCTTAACAATCGCAAAAAAATCATACTCAAATAATATTAATACAAAATCGTTGGTGAGACTATACCCGATATGATAAGAAGGTACTCAATTTTTGACATTTTCAAAATATAAGAGTGTAACTTGCATGACCCTTTTAAACAGTTTTCTTTCACATGTTTTCATCACTTGATTTTGTATTGCTTAGTTTTTAGTAAGAAAATAATAATAATAATAAATCTACATCTCTGAAAATCAGTTATGTCATACGTGAAAAAAAAAGAACAAGGACCATTATTTTTTCCTTGGGGTTAACTATTAGGCTTAGCATTAAATGTTTTTCGAGTATGATGATATTCATTTTACACAGAAACACTTCCTTATCCCAATGTTGAATCATATTTCGTGTTATAAATTCCAATGTGCCTTTATTTCAATGATAAATATACTTATGTGAAGACGAATAACGACGTCAAACTGAGGCATCTCTTACTATTATGCTATGTACAAAAAATTAGTCTCTGCCTAAAATCATGCACACTTGATGTCAAACCTGGAAGTGACCCGATAATTTTCAGTATCAACAAGAGCTATTCAAAAATATTGAATTATCGATCAGCAAAGATAAAATGTATTCTTAATATGAATTAATTTCAAAATAATAATTGTGGTTGGTAGATGATATTGGTATTTCCACATAATCATATTCGATACCTGGTACCTCTAAATCACATCCTCGCTAATATGCAACAATTAAATGATTGCTATAATGATTATTGTTATGTTGTGTCCAGAAAATTTCAGACCTCCAGATAAGTTGCGTGATAAGTTAACACAATAAAACAAAATTTAAAACCTAATTCATTCTAAAAAGAACCTAATTGCATGTCAACATTTACGTTATTGGCCCTTCTGGTCGCTGCCGAGTGCATTATTTACCCTTATTGATGATTGCTGTCGCATAATTCCTCTTATTTTGTAATTTTTGTAAATCTACGTTCGTTCTAAAAAAAAAAATAGCCGATCTGGGTCCCAAATTGAATTTTTATTAACCGTTTGCCCCTTTCTAAAATTGTGTATCCATGGTAAACAACAGCCACCAGTTCATAAAATTTTTATTTGCCTTCGAAGAGGTAGAACGGAAGCACCATTACTTGTCGGCTCGGAGTCAGAAAAGTGTGTCCGGTTAGGTTGACATGTCTTTCTGCATACTGTTACCTTGTGAACTAGCACAATAACGATCTTGCTCAGCGTGGCGATCTAATACAAAGCAGGGTTAATGGATAACCAAAGGATGTGAAATATCTAAAACATATTACACTAAACTTTTCTCCGCGGTTACGGCAGCTCGTTGTCGAAAACGTAGTCTAAAGTACAACAGTGTCCTTAAACTATGACAATATCATTTTATAAATTACTTTGTATCAAGCATTACCTTACGTCAATCTCTATGTGCGACATAACCGTTGATTGAATACTAGCAGGACTTCTGATATTGGCGACAGTTTGACATGCCTTCAAAAATGATGAATTATCAAGCAGCGGGATGACGAAGTACTCTAAATATTCTTATTGTACTATAGGTCTTTCTTCGAAAAACAAAATTTCGAATAGTAAAAATGTTATAAAGAATCAGTTCACTGTGTGTGTAAATGAAGCCGTGAGATATTAGACAACGTATTTTCACGTCAGACAAACTTCTTCGTGCATGTACTTCATACTCGATTTAGTATTTTCAAAAGGGAGTGGAATGCCCATCGATAAATAAAGGGGGCAGTAAAAAATGATAAAATTAGTCCATAACATAATGCAATCTCGGATGCAATTATCTTTTTCTCTAAATGATCAAGATATCTGCTAGCTTGAGTCTAGCCAAGATATCTAGGATATATGTAAAGGAGGCAGTAGATTATCAATACAAATAAAAAAGACTAGTTTACGAATTACACAATTTTCATTTAAAATGCATATATATGTAATCAACGTTTCCTTAAAAATATTGATAAATGAAAAAAAAATGACAGTTTCAATCTTAAATTTTCTATTGTTGAAAATAAAACAACGATTAGAAAAATGACCGCAAGTACAAAATAGCTTGCGTGGATAAAAAACCACAGTCAACGTGTTTTTTTTTGCAGTTTCTTGGAAATCTTTTTTTTTCCTTTTCTTTCGACTTAAAAGTTAAAAAAATATGTTATGCCCGGAGTTATGAAATTGTTCAAATCTTGAAATTTGATTAATTTTAAATATTTAGTTCTATGGACGACAGAAAGAAGTACGAGCAAGCGAAACTTTAGCTTTTCTTTCTGAAGACAATTTCGATTGGAACGAATTACTTTATCTAGCAGTAAAACAACCTAATCAAAATACAGACCCCATTTCCATTCTTCTTGGAATCGAAAGAAAATATATATGTTGAACTGGCAAAATTAATCAATAATATATGGCCCAAACTGCCCCAATAGCACATGCATTATTCGATGTAAAACAAAACGAATAAACTTCAATTTACATGTATCTTATTCCTCAAATCTGAATAATTATCGACTGGAAAAGAAGGAACATGGTGTATAAATAATTAATCCACATCATAAAATCCCTACATGCAATTTGCAATACCAATGTCAAAGGAACGGTGCTTTTATTGCTGTTATTAATCTGAAAGACACACTTTGATGCCTGCTTAATTTTCCATCTTTTTTCAATCCATACGCAAAAAGATGAGCCTCTTAAAGTCAAAAGCTAAAATCATAAATGAAAAGTTTTGGTTCTTGAAAACTCTGTAGTTTTTGAAATTCTGAAATTTAAAATTTACTTTGCTTTTCGAATTACAAGTATTAATTCAATTATACTCTGAATAGAATTATTCTACGTCTTAATCAATCCACAACTTTAAGATATAAATCAGAATTTAGATAAAATTAAGCTTTTTTGGCAATTCATAATTGTTTTCTTCCATTTTCGATCATTCTAAAGCTCATATATAAACGTACATGTTAATTGAATATTGTGCAGTATTTTAAGTGATCAACAGGGAATGCCACAAATGATGGCCAAAATATCATGAAACAATTACCATATTTCATTTTACTTCTCGGGTTGCACGTTACTATATGATTAGAAATCATCGCTCGCTGTTGGAAGTTCAGTTTCGCCACTCATAAAATCAAATAACAGACATATTCCATCTGAACCTGAGAACGAGTGGCTCATTTTCTTCTAGCAATGTTTATCTTTTGTTAGATGGTGTTCTTTCAATGGTATTTATAAACGCAGAGTAAAATTTTGAATGTTTGGTATAAATATGTTAAATCAATCATCCTCAAAACAAAATTTCAGAAGATATGCATGGGTAAGATCAGAGAACAATGATATTTACTTCATTTTATCAAGCGTTAGTGAACCACAGGGGGCGGATCCAGGATTTTAGGCTAGGGGAGGCGCAAACTTAAATTTTCGCCGAGCGGAGCGTGGCGAAAATTTTTTTGAGGTAAAATTATCGAAATATTCTTTATTAAGCTGAGGACAACCCATGCTTCGCAAAATTTAGGGGGCGCACGCCCGCCACGCTCCCGCCTGAATTCTTTAAGGTTATGAATCCGTGGCTTCATTACATGTTCAATGCAAAATAAATTAAATTAATATTTTTGTTTTGTTTAGAAAATACAGTTACTTCTGTGTGAAATAATTTTAATGAAAGCTTTCTGAAGGTCGTTGATAGAACGCCCATTCGTGAGGGCGTGACAAATTGTCACCAATGTGAATTCCGCATTTCTATTGTACAAAGTCTGACGTGCGGTGATACTTGAACAGTGTAAATTACATTGTCATAATTTTATGACATAGTCTTCTAACATCAAAAGACTATTTACTATATGATTGTGACTGTGTCATCCTGATTCAAAACTAAATTGATTTAGACAAGAGACTCTCAAGAGCCTGAATCGCTCACCTGTAATTTTTTGCTTAAATCTTTCATCAATGATTATTTTTGCTTTTCAATATACATATATAATGAGTGGCTTAAAAATGCCATTTAAATGTTCTTTGTATCTGTCATATTTTCTTCAAAAGCAAAAAAAAAATGCATTTTACCTTTATGTTCTATTTTAGCCATAGTGGCTAATGTTTCTTGACGTACAAGGAAATAAAATACAAAATTTATACAAGATACTCTGAAACTCATTCAGCCTAAGTTTGGCTGAAATTGATTCAGCAGTTTCAAAGGAGAAGATTTTTTAAAGTAAGCAAACTAGATAAACAAATTTTGAAAAAATTGTCTTGGGGCAATAACTCCTTAAGGGGTCAATTGACAATTTTGGTCATATAAACTTACTTGTAGATCTTACTTTGCTGAACATTTTTGCTGTTTATAGTTAATCTTTATCTACAATTATATTCAAGATAATAACCGAAAACTGAAAAATTTCCTTAAAATCATTAATTCAGGGGCAATAACCTAAAATTCAGATACCCGATTTAGCTGATAATTTCAGGGCAGGTAGACCTTGACCTAATGAATACTTTAACTTCTTGTCTGATTTGCTCTAAATGCTTTAGTTTTTTGAGATATGTCAATAACTGCATTTTACCCTATGTTCTATTTTTAGCCACGACGGCCATGTTTTTTGACGAAACAGAAAATAAAACACAAACTTTATTCTAGATACCCTAAGGATCATTCAGCTTAAGTTTGGTTGGAATTGGTTCAGTAGTTTCAGAGGAGAAGATCTTTGAAATAGTTTACACCAGACGGACGACGGACGACGACGGACGCCAAGTGATGGCAGAAGCTCACATTTCCTTCGGAAAAGAGACCATTGATTGGCGCGCTAAAATATCCCATTGACTGGGTCAGATTAGGTGAACGTTCGTCTGTAACGCCCACAACTCACGACGTATTTATTATAGACATTTAAACTGTGGGGTCACCAAAGGGTCTCAACGCCTAAATAAAATAATTCGAAAAACTAATCAGGAATAACCTTTGTGTTTTGATTTATATTGAATACTTAAACGTTCTTTACTTGTGTTTTTTTTATGTTTTGATAATGATTTTTTATGATATCGGACGTTCTTTCAGCAAAAAAGGATTTAACTGGCTTTAAAAGTTACAATGGATGTGTTGATTATTATCTTTTTTTCGGACGTCAAAGCGATTTAACAATTGCCGTTGTCCAATTATGTCATCTTTAAACTTTTATCTGGTAAAAATATTATTTTAGAACGAATGCATGATCATTTTTAAAAAGTGTGCAAACACAAAACATATAGACAAAATATACTTCTTTCCTGTCTTTTTCGTATTTGCAAGTTATTAGACAGTAAAAAGGCTATTTGGATCAAGCCTTGTGAAATTTGCATTTACGTTTTTGAATAGGTAAAATGTATAGTTTGGTGATCTTTTCTGCTAACTACTAAACCCTTGGCAACAGAAACATATTCAGCTTTTTTTTTAATCGACCCAATTTACATAGTAATGAACGACTTCGTACATTTTATGATCGCAAATAAAATATGTATATAATATACTGTGCACTGTAGTTCGTATATATACTGAGACCCTTTGGCAACCCCATAGTTTAAATGTTTATAATAAATACGTCGTGAGTTGTGGGCGTTACAGACGAACGTTCACCTAATCTGACCCAGTCAATGGGATATTTTAGCGCGCCAATGAATGGTCTCGGCTACACTGTTTTGCACATGATTCTATATGCATAGGCAACTACCTAGTTAATATCATTAATTCAAAGAAAGCTAAATGAAGTCATTCAGAGTAACCTGGATACATCATACACACGGAACAGATGTGACCCAAACTGAGACAATATGTTTCAGAAAGTAACTAAGGGTGGTGGTGGTTTCAGAGAAAACCGTAATCTGGTTGTTCATATTGACTTTACATTTTTCCCAAAAAAAGATAACTTTTACTTTATCCATCCAGGTCATCCAGGATGGTTCAGTACATGTTAATGTTTATATGATAGTCTCTATATGTTAACCGTGTTCATACAGGATCAGTTTCTTCTTTCAATCACTATATGTAACGTTATCTGGACTGAAGTGCCAGTTTGTTTTTCAAATAAAAAACTGGCATGAATGTTTAAACAAACTAGACACAAATTTTAAAAAAAATGCTTGCTAATCAGTGTATATCATACCAAATATAACAGATATCGCATATATACCTGAAGGAAATTTATTAAAGATATCAGTGGATGACCATCTTGATTTGTGAAATAAATATTACCATGTCTCAGATCATAAATTGAAGATGAAGAAAACCCAATACATTCAGGAATGTTGTAGTGAAAAATCCAAAATATTAAGGAGCTAGGTGACGAAAAAACCCACTTCGAACTTTGTCTGTAGGGTGAGTTGGAAATGATGCAAATGAAAAAAAAACTTCACTCAATAAAAAATTGATGAGTAAAAAAACCCGTTCTTATGTGGAGCTCTGTAGTATTGATTTATATCTTACAGATTTTCAAAATTATCATGATATGTACAAGTGGTCGACCAAAACCAGTCGATTAAACGTTTGAATGAGATGTCTGTATACATATTTACATAATTCACCCGGACAAACGTTCTTGCCAAAAAAGTGTTTAACTTACCAATATACAATCAAGTGGTGATAAAATGAGACAGGTGGAGTAACATTCTTCTATTTTTGAAAAATACAAAACGTCAAGGCGTTTGTAATCATATCGTTGGAGTATAATTTCATGGGATTGGTGCACGTGCTTTAATATGTATGTAAAATAAGCCACCAGATACTAGGCAAACAAAAACGATCCAAAAGTATGAGAAAACAATTCAATTTAGTTTCTCCTTAACAACATTTAGTAGTTCTGGGAAAGAAGTGTTCATAAAATGTCCCTTGTCATTGTGTTTCCTAAATTCACTCTCAAGTCCATCTGCTACTTGTTGCTGTTCTTTCCATGGAATAAATGGGTCATCTGTCGATCCAAACTGAACAATAAACGTTGTATTAGATTTTATTTTCTGCCATTCCCATGGTCTGTTATAATATCCACTTTCTCGTTCGTTATCATCGCCAAGATCCGTCACGCATGCAGAGACAAGGATTATTCCTTTGACGGGGTATTTTTCAGAATACCTCATAGCAGCCTCAGCACCAGAACTATGGCCAATGATAATCGTTGTTTCGTCACATGCCATTTCTTCGTGCATGAACGGTAACCATACCGTTTCCTTTGCTATGACCGGATCTGGCATGTTTCGTAAGTCACATGAGACGCCTGAAATCTGGTTCAGTTTTTTGTGCAACCATCCATACCAGTTTGCACAAAAGACATCACCGGCACCATTACCTGGTATTATTGCAATTTTTGTTGTCATTTCTTACTCTGAAAAAAAAATTGTTCACAAGAAAAAATATATTTGTGTCCGGGATTTGTGTCGACGTTGCCTCAATGTTTTAAGCCTTAACAAAAATCATCATTTGCTTGTGTTGACCAAACTTTCGTACACTGTCCGTAAATGTGTCAAATAAAACTTCAGACTCACTATCAATTAGACAAAAAGGTTGAAAGAAAACTAAACTAGAGGCTCTAAAGAGCCTGTGTCGCTCACCTAGGTCTATGAACATTTTCAACCATGGACTCTCTCCATCATTGTGGACTAGAATAGAATTAATGACGAAAACCTTCTTTTTTTGTCGATCTTGTATTGCTGATCAATTTTTCTCTATACAGTTTCTCTCTATTTTCTTTGGTTTTAGCCCAAAACACAAGAAACAATAAAAGAATTATCATTTCAGGCAATCACTCCTATAAAGAGTAAATCAACAGTTTTGACCAAATTTCACTTATTTGTAGATCTTGTCTTGCTGATCATTTTTTGCTATTTAAAGGGGCATTAGCTGTCAAATTCATGTTCACCGAATTTGACTCAAATGCTCATATTTGATTTATAACCTTCTAAAACGTATATCCGACTTACAAAAAGTCAAAAAGAAACAATTAACAAGGCATGAACTCGATAATATGTATCTGAATTTCGTGTATATTTTAGTCTAGACGCTATCTATAATTAACCATCGAGGTGACCTCCGAAGACTGCTGACGGTCATATAATCCGATATAAACACGAATATAGATATAACTAGATAGCGAACACGTGCAATTGGATTTTTCTATGTCTGTTTGATTTCATATTATTGGTTAAACAAATATGTTAATCATCGTTTTTACCTGTATAAGAATGAGTTTTTGTGGATCGAATCAGTCAACCAAATTGTTTACCCGAGTTTCACTTTCTATGTTGACATTATTTTTCTTTTAATAGCTGAACACGCCTAACCGGGCAATGGGTTAAATAAAAGGTCACATGAATACGGATTCAATGAGGTCGAATTATTCACTTGCAAGTGAATAATTTATCAGCGATGTTTCTTAGCTTATTTTGGCAAAATAGAACCAAACTGGCTGCTAAATGCGAATTATTATTTCACTATTTCGCTTTCATTAATGATTGAACAAACAAAAAAATCATATTTAAATTTTTTTCATATCTCGTAGCTATTTCCCCTTTAGCGTGTCTATCTTTTATAATTTCAAGATAGTAGACAAAAACTTAAAATATTGGTAAAATTGTCATTAAAGAGCAAGAACTCCTACAAGGAGTCGACCGACAATTTTGGCTATTTGACTTATATGTAGATCAAGTCTTGCTAATCATTTTTGCTTATTCAAGTTTTTATCTACCTATTATAGTTTTTTTCAGATATTAGACAAAAACGCAAAACAATGGTAAAAATAATTATCAAAGGGCAATAACTCCAACAAGGGGTCGTCAAACGATTTCAAGAGTATTACCTTATTTGTAGATCTTGTCTTGCTGATCATTTTTGCTAATTTTTAGTTTCTATCTATCTATTATAGTTTTTCAGATATAAGCCAAAACGCTAAAAATTGATAAACATCGTCATTAAAGGGCAATAACTCTAATAAGGAGTCGTCTGACGATTTCCACCATTTTGACTTATTTGTAGTTCTTGTCTTGCTGATCATTTTTGGTATATTAAGTTTCTCTTTATCTATTTATAGTTTTTCAGATATTAGCCAAAAAGGAAAAAAATCTGTAAAATTCGTCTTTTAAGGGCAATAACTCCTAAAGGAAGTCGTCTGACAGTTTTGAAATAAATAGAAAATGGGTAAGTCTTATCATTTGGAACATTTGTGCCTCGTTCAGATTTTCTCTATTTATAGCAGTTTTCAAGATAATAGACCAAACTTGCATTTTACCCCTATGTTCTATTTTTAGCCATGTTGGTTGGCAAGCGGATTCATCGGACACATTTTTAAACTAGATACCCTAAGGACGATTGTGGCCAAGTTTGGTTGAATTTGGCATACTAGTTTCAGAGGAGAAGATTTTTGTAAAAGTTAACGACGACGGCCGACGGACGCAAAGTGATGAGAAAAGTGTGACATACAAAGCTATTTAGTATATTCATCGATACTCTCGACACCATCACGTTCACCTAAAGTACACAGCGAGAATAACACATAAATTAATGCTTTCGACCTACAATGTTGACGTTATATACTTGCGTGGTGTTTTGTTGTACTGTTTTTAAAGTGCCGTTTAAGACCGATTATTTATACTGCATAATGTGATAGTTTAACAAATTACTAATATAATCTGTTAATTCCATATCGATCAGCATAGAATAAACACATCAGTATCATATGTTATATCTCATTTCGTTATTATATAATGTCTGATGGTATGATTTTAAAATTATACACATCATACATAATAATTAATTAAACTAATCGTGTAATGCAGATTGGGTAAAGGGTAGGCCTATTCGTAAAATAAATGCATCAATTTTGACTATCTGCGCTTATCAAACAATATGTGATCCCCTATAGAAACATATTTATCGATCACGTTTTATTTACCCAAACTGCCCTTTACTCCTGACGTATTACCATTTTTATAACTCATTCAAGCCAATAGAATCCCAGCCACACCATTAAACAGCCAATCAGAACTGACTGTTGTAGGTATTAATTTCAAGATAACGTGTATATCGACTGAACCTAATGGCCTTAGGTTCCTTGCTCAACTTGTCGGTACTTGGCCGGGATCCCATGCTACTGAAACTAATAATTTCGCACCGTGGTTTACAACAAGGTTTACAACTGGCTTGGATTTTCACGTCATGCATGCGCCGTACACTGGCTTTTTCAATCCAGGTGACTTCCGGTCTAGCAATCACAGAACAAAAGTAAAAAGTAAAATAACAAAAATACCGAACTCCAAGGAAAATTCAAAACGGAATGTCCCTTATCAAATGGCAAACACATCAAACGAATGGAAAACAACTGTCATATTCCAGACTTGGTACAGACATTTCCTTATGTAGAAAATGGTGGACTAAACCTGGTTTTATAGCTATCTAAACCTCTCATTTGTATGACAGTCGCATAAAATTCCATTATATTGACAACAAAGTGTGAACAAAACAAACAGATATAATAGGTAAAAATGTCAAGAATTGGGTACAGCAGTAAACATTGTTTTATAATCTTAATCACTATAAAAACAAATAACTATTTCAATAAAGACAAACAAAATGGCACACATACACTCTATAGACAAAGCACATAAGCAAAGGTATTGGTATCTTCCGATGAACTTTTTTAGATTAAGGATGAGACGCCCTTTGACATATACCTGGTTCGTTAACTTTCTGATCAGACAGTGGTGACGTTTTATAAAGTCCGAGTAGCAGCTGCAAGCTTTTGATTACCGAATGAGTTGGGAAATGTATATCCCATATGCAAGTGAAGTTGGTATATTGCTGCTTAGGTGAGGGAAATTGACTATTACAAGATTAAAATCGTCTCGTTTGTCATATATTCTGGTACTGAGATGACCGCTTATGAGGTATAAGTCTAAAAATAAGGCGGAGGAAGCCTATTCTTAAGGAGCAGTGTAAATCAGATGTTAGAGTACTTACTAAGTCGATACAAGGTTGTAAGTGTAACAAAATATTTGTTCCGGCGTGACATTTGTTCCGCCGGAACTTATTTCATAGGAAATACGTTCCACAGGAATTTTTATCACAGAAATTCATAATAAGTTCCAACCCTGTAAAATTTGTTCCGGAACTATTTTTTTTACCAAATGTGAAATAAGTTCCGGAATAAAAATCACACCTCAAAGAATTTTGTTCCAATATAAAATTTAAAAAAAAAAAGTGAAATAAGTTTCTGTGATTTAAGTTCAAAATTTGGTATTTTTTTTCGAATTTCAAATTAAGTTAGCATATATGTTGTATGTAGATAATATGATTAAAAAACAAATGCACAACTAAGATTAGCATATATGTTGTACGTAGATAATATGCCAGATTAAAAAACAAATGCACAACTAAGATTAACAACTGTGATAAATATTTTAAACACACTATTTAATTTTTCTACAAATTCTGATACAAAGTAACATATGTTTAATTGTAATATTCCTAAATAAAAGATTGACGCTAAGTTGACGTTTTGGTTCGTTTTGGATTTGCGTAGGACGGGAGTTGAGGTATCAGCATGGCCTGATTCTAGAACATCTATCTTGTCATGATCAACAGATGTGTTGACAACAGACGTATAAGACATAGTTGACATATTAAAGTATGTGTTCAAAGATTCCTCTGATGACATGTCATCTGTTACTTTTTGTCTTTTGTTACTACAAGAGTCTTTTAATTAACTGACCAGCAGTTTTGTCCTTTTCAACATAATATAAATGTTCATCTTCAACTATGATATTTTTCTGTGTGATTTTTCGTATTCTTCGTTTTTCTGCCTCATTAGTGTCATTTGGATATTTTTTTTCAAGAATGTAATTAAATATTTTACTATCACGACTCCAAAGGATCAATATTGGATGTTTACACTTTTTATTTATTATATTATCAATATAATGCATGTTTTATAATGTACTTGAATGATAACTTAAAACTTATTGATGACAATGCTCAGTAGTAAAGATAACTTGTATAACCAGTGGAACATATTTCACAGACAACAAACTTATTTCACCAGGTAAGGAACATATTTCACAGACAAGGAACTTATTTCACCAGGTAAGGAACATATTTCACAGACAAGGAACTTATTTCACAAGGTAAGGAACTTTCACAAACCCAGAACTTATTTCACCAGGTAAATTGTGGAAATTATTTTATATATATATATATATAGAGAGAGAGAGATGGAACAAATTAAATAGAAATTGTCTGTGAAAAAAGTTCTCCCAGAATATATTTCCTGTGATATTTGTTCCACTGGAACAAATTTTGGCTCACATAAGCAAAGCGTTGACATTATAGGATCTGTATTTTAATCAGATTGCATACTTACAATCTAAGTCCCTCTCCTTGTGCAATTATATAAAACATTTGACCTGTTTCCTCTTTACACAAGTGAAATCCTTATTTTTAACTTAAAAGATTCAAAGAAATAGTTCTACTTTGTTTCATAAAAGAATCCAACCGCAGAAACAGTTATCTTGTTTCAGGAATGGAGAAATCATACTTTATAAAAAAAAATGATTCAAACAAAAAGTATTATTGAAACAGACATCATGCACTGATTTTGTGTCATGGATGGCTACCCCATATCCTTTCTTTTAGTGAAAACCAAACTGAATACCGAAAAATTGTGCCTAATAGGGATAATAGGGCTAAGCTAGGCTCTCAATGCCTTGGTGTAGGAAAACCTTCGTATAATTCAAAATAGTGAAATAAGAACATTTTTAGAAAATGACCATATCATTCATATTTCATGTCAACACAGAGGTGATTACCAGCAGTGGCATCGATACAGACGTTGTAAAAACTCATAGATAAGATTCCAGGCTTATAATTTGTTACACCAGTCCCGCGTTTAGTCTGCATAAGACTCCTTTGTGACGCTGGAATCAAAACAGTTTGAGGGCCCCAAATCAAATTGAAATACAAAGTTGGAGAGCATTGAAAACCAAAAATGACGAAAAATTGTGACAAAGAGGACCAGGGTCATCTATCTACAGGGGCGTAGCTAGGTATCCAATAAACTGTAGGCACAAATTGCGGCAGGGGGTCTGGGGCCGCTAAAGGCCCCCAGCAGGTCCAGGGCAGAGCCCTTGTAGGGGGTTCAGGGGGGCGAAGCCCCCGACGGAAAACGGGTTTCAGCATGCATGTAGTTTAAAAAATATGTGTACAAAAATACATAAAATTTACTGGTCATTTTATCATGATAATATACATGAAAAAAAATGTTGAAAAAATAAACATATTTCTACAATTACATCTGACAGATGAATTTACCGGCAGGACAGAACAATCGGAAATATAAAAAAAAAATCAATATTTCCAATATGCATTGCCCAGCGTGGATCAGCGTAGCCCTTTATTAAGCAGCACAACCTGTTTCTGATTGAGTATAATTGATATATGCGTCAATTGATAGTACATATTGACGATCTTACATTAAAAAAATAGGCACGTAAACACTGAGACTACTACATAATAATACTTACTTTTGGACTACGCATCGACCATTCATCTTTTGATTTTAAAACTTCACCCTCCCCCGGCCACACAAACACTTACACACACACAGTCGATACGCCATGCAGAAGTATCTAACAAAATTCAAGCAATTCATATTTCCTTATATCCTGTACTGTAAGATCCCTACCTGCTTAGGAATCTGAATAATTATGGTCATTACACGTAAATCTGAGAGTACTCGAAGTTACTGAAAGCTAGTTGATTGATTGATTGCTAAACGTCCAGTGGAAAATAGTTCATGCATGTTCAGGACTAAAACAAATAGGGGTCGTCCAGGATGAAGGTCTATAAATTTGGAAATGCCATGCATTGTAAAATGAGGGTTTATTGGGTAGGAACAGAAATTTGCCTTTCAGTAGACGACCTACGAACCCCTCGAAGAGTTGTTGCAAGATTCTTAACGTGCAGAGAGCGTGGCATTCTCTCATTACTAGGCATCGGATTGAACTTGGGCCAACAACAACTAATTAAAAAAATCATTTATCTAAGTTGAGGTTCATTCAAGTATTTGTTGATAGAAGTGAAATGATCTGAACCAAAGTTCTAGTTTTTATAGTTTCTATATAATGTGGAGTATAATGACATACAGTTCCAATACTCAACGTACTGATTCACCAAGGATAATAGACTAGTGTACAAATGACATAGTTTTGACGTCTTCACATGCATCTACAGATAACATTGTTTATTATTTATTTAATAAAAAAAATATTTGTGAAAAAATTTTTTTTTGCAGCTACGCCCCTGATCTATGCCCGGGGATAAGACAACCATAAGTGTTTCGAATAATTCAAAATGTTGTAAACAGAAATTTTACAGAAAATAATCGTAGTCATTTATATTGATATTTCATGTCAACGGCACAGAAGAGCTGTCAGACCGTATACTGCGCCGGATAACCTCGGGACGAAATGTGCACCAGCAGTAGTATCGACCTAGTGGTTGTAATTTGTTAAGTCAGACACGCATCTCGTCTGCATGAGACTCCTCAGTGGCGCTCGAATCAAAACAGTTCAAGTGAAAATTGAAATGACAAATAAAATACGAAGTTTAAAGAGCAATTTATAAGCTGCATTGAATACCAAAAATAAGAAGTGTCAATGATTCCAGAATTTTTATTGGCCGAGTCATTCCAAAAGTTATACATTTAAAAAATGCAACATCTATGACTGCACTTGCTCTCCTTGATAGGATAAAAAAAAGCATAGAAAAGCAAGCTACAGGATAGATCGTAGCTTTATTAAATGTTATATTAGACATAAGAAGATGTGGCATGAGTGCATAAACATGAAATTATAAGAATTTATAATAATGATTCTGTTCGTAATTTTATAGGTTTTATATGTATTAACCTCTGTAAAAACGTATGTTGCTTCTGCACTTCATAACGGGATATTCAATATCACAAGGCGATGACAAACTGATAAGGCCTTGGCAAAAAAAAACGAAAAACGTCCAAAACACAACAAAACACAACGTAGAAAAAAACTAGACTCAACCAAGCAATACGAACTCCACCACACTGTGCTTCGGCGAAAGCTTTTACACCCTCCAAAATTACAAAAGAGGCATTCAATTCTTAATCGAATGTTCTTATCTTTAGGAATAAAAAAATGTGCAGGCAGTTAAAAAAACAATGGTTAACTGTACGAGTGTTTACCGTGAGAAATTTTGACACGTCATTGTTCGTAGTAAATTGACTCCGCCCACAATATAAACTTTTGATATTCTATGCATTTCATTTTACCCGTAGGAAAATCTGTTCGCCATGCTAAAATAGGAAACTTACTTTTGTTTTCTGTGAATTATGGAATACTAAATCCTAGAAATATCCCTGAAAATGACTAAAAGTGGTTTTACTCATTACCACGTGGTTCTTTGTTGTTCAATGAAACTATTGCGTACGTAATACCGCATTGCCATCTGGGATAGCTTTGACGGGCACTTATGGCCGCCATGATGGATTTTCAGAAAATTTTGTGAAAAATGAATTTATTATCAGGTTTTGGAGTACTATTTTGAGACAAAAACTATTCAATAGGGTTAAGTGATGTGTACTGTAACTTGGTATATTTCTTAATATGCTTAATTGGTATATGTAAGACATTTAAGTCGTTCAAGAAGGAAGGCGACGACGTGGACGAAGCTCATTAGCATAAACGAGGTCAGCAAGATGAGCAAGGTTTCGTTTAGGGCTAGGGCGCTGGACGCCGCTAAGCCCATGCCTGTGTACAGAGCTGAAGAGATTCCCGACCTCCCTGATTTTGCAAATATAAACAGATCGGTACCTGCTATGCCGACTGGGATGGAGAAAGAGGAAGAAACGGTACGCTGCTTTTGTGTTGGTTACGGTTTTCCGGCAGTCGCCATCTTGGATTGAATTTACATGAGCGCAAATAATCTGAACTCCTGTCTTTAATTGCCTTAGTTGATGAAAAGAATAAATCTAATCTAGTCATAAAGTTTTATTTTCAGAAATTTGTTGGTTTTTGATACTATGGCTAATACGTCTATAATTAGAATGTCACGTGATACTTTGTTTTCGTTTTACCACGTGGGGAAAGTTAAAACGAAAGTTCTGTATTGTGAAATGAGAATGTTGATTACAGTTGTCTGGGATGATTTAAAACTGATCTAAAATGTTGTTGCTTATTTTTTATAAATTTGAGTATAATGAATATATTTTGAAAGTATTGTGTTTGATCAAAACTTATTAAGTCCTAGATAAATGGGAGTCGTATCCCACTGAATTCCAGGGGCGTGATGGGCGTGCGCCTCCCTAAAATTTGCAAAGCATGGGTTGTCTCTACACTCTAGAAGAATATTTCAATAATTTTACCTCAAAAGAATTTTAGTTTGAGCCCCCCCTCCTAACCTAAAATCCTGGATCCGCCCCAGAATACAGACCTGGCAAATTGCCCGACTAATGAAAAGGAGTTGAATCCTGCAGAATTCCAATCTGCCCTCCTAGCTAGCTCAATTTGAGTATTTGGACACTATTTATCATTGCTTTCTGGACAGAAGAAAATGTAGGGCTAGTTTATTTACCTGACTTCAGTTTACAACGCAGGGTAATGTTTTCCTATCTGATTAAAATCGTTAAACCATGTGGCAGTATAATCTAGTTTTGTCTCGTGTTTTAGGAGTAGGCACAGTAAGACCCTTTTTTGGCCCCAAAATATAGCATTGCAAAAATTTGTTAAAAATGTAAACTTTTTATTGGAAAGTAGTATACTTTTGTTACATATTTATGGGCTGTTTTTGATAATACAATGTACATGAATCAGGTACTAGCATCATTAATTGATGCAAAATTACGGAAATCTTCACAGCATTTTTGCTTATTTTAAGATGTTTTTTGTCTCGAATGGAAGTGGCTGCACTTGTGTTCAGTCTTAATATTTAAATATATGTTGTATCTGTTGATAATACATAACATATATAAAGGTTGAGACTGAACACAAATGCGTCCACTCCCATTTTAGACAAAAACCCATCTGAAAAGTGACGTATTGTGGCATATTTGATAGATTTTTCATATTTAAGCTTGAATGTAGGCACCTTTCATGACCATATCAGTTCAAATGTTTTACATAAAATTAACTGAATCGACTGAAGAAGACACTTAATTGTTTAAAAAATATCAAAAATCTTTCATCAGATGTTCTTGAAATTTTAGGCCTTACCAGACTTTTTTCAACCAATGAGGTCAAAATTCACATATCCTCTCATTTAGTTTGGGATTGGGAGAGTCATCATTATTGTACATGTAGGTTCCAAAACAATTCCAATTGAATTGAATATATATGTGCATACTCAGGACAAGAACAAATTAATCATTACAATATATAGGTTTGCAAAGTGAATCTAGCCTGCATATGGCTTGAAAAATGAGGTTTGTTTGATAGTGACAGAAATTTTGCCTAGTTACAGGCCACCTATATGTACTAAGCTTGGAGTTATTTGATGTGTAGGAAGTGTGGCACTCTCTATAGGAGGCATCATTTTTAACATCCTGTGGTATTCCTATCAGATGTGACTGTATTTACACAACCCCAAAGGTTGTCCTTGCAGGGAAGACGTACTCCTTGTTCAGAGATACTGGGCATAATTTCTATACCACAGGATTCACTAGCTCATCTATCTTCAGTCTACTTGTTGCTTAAGCTGGAGAATTTTACTGGAAAAATGATGAGCATCTATGCGCACCAAGAAAAAAAATCTTTAAATCACAAAAATCTGCATATAGCTCTATATTAGCTTGCTGATTTACATGAACATGTATGTTAATGTACCTTCCCAGAAATAAAAAACAATAAAAAATCTATAAGATCACACCAGTATTGCACAGTATGGCTAAGGGACCTTCTTGGGCTGGTGAAATTAAAAATTGGATGTTTTGCAAATATAGACAAGTCTACAATAAATAGTTTATTCACCATTTGTTGTAAGAATAACAATCTTTGAAATTATCATATAAGAGGAAGCATACATAAGATAGAAAAACACTCCAAAAAATGTCCCAAATGTATTGAGAAAACTGGTGCAGTTAAAATGGTTGACATTCAAATTGAAATGAATAAGAAATGATCTGTTCATGACTGGCTTTGATTATTCATGCCTGTATGCAGTGCAATATCCATATGAATAAAGAAGATATATATGGGGAATACAGCAATGCATTGCGATCAGACAGTAACTATTGTTAAAATTGAAGTTCAGTTGTACAAATGTATGACTGACGAATTTCATATTTGCCGCTGGACTTTATCAAACAGCTTTTAAACAATCTGATGTATTTTTTGCTAGATTTATAGTATTTTTGTTGTTGTAACAAACTTTTTCCAAACAAAGATGGAAAAGAAAGCACCTTAAGCATAGAGTGGACTTGTACCGTTGTATTAGATTAGCGTTGACACTCATTAGGCCTAAAAAATATTGAGTTTTCTGTCACCTCCTGAAAAAATACGGTTGGTAGGTTTGCAACAGTTTTTTTTGTGTTTGCAAACTCAGAAATAGCCTTATCCTATTCCAGAATTGTATTTAATATACATGTAGCATATGCCTTGATTGCTGGTTAGCAGCCATTTTTCACAGTTGTTTTTGTCATTCAGGTATGATTTACTCGGTTAAACACAATACCTGTTGACCATTTTCAGCATTAAGCTAGCAGTTGAACAAAATGAACATTGCTTTCAAGAACAATACCTGTGAAAATACGTTTCGCCCAATTACAATGAAAATCTTTTTATTGTTGACTAAAAAAAAATGGTTAGTCAGGGTACCGAAATGGGTCTCGTATTATATGCTCCATTAGAACCACCCTAGTGGTACATGTAGTTCGCTTGCCCCTGAATGCAAGAGGTTAATTAAGGTTTTGATCTCTGGTTGAGATGAACTAAATACTTGACAATTGGTAAAGGCTTGTTTCTGCTAAACACACAGCATCAAGTAGTAAAAGGACTTGTCGACCCTGTGTCAGAATAATGTCATCGCATAGGGTGTCATGTCTTCCTGCAGAATGTTATCTTGTGAACTAGCACAGTAATCATAAAGACTGCTAGTCAGTCTAGTACAAAGCAGGGCTCTTCTGCATGTAATAATTGACACTGGAAAGTAAACAACAATCCATCAATGTACTTATTCAGGTGTAGCTGAGATTGGTTTCTAATGGCTAATGATCTAACAATCTTTAAGAATGAAAATTGGAAATAAACCCAATAACTGATTTCTAGGTCACCAGATTTGCTCTGGAGGGTCAATTAGCTACTGTAACAGTTGTTTGTTGGGTTTAGATGGTCACTCACAAATCCAATTGGCTTAGATTAAAAGACTGGTTAAATAGAGTTTGTAGACTAAGTAATCTGATAGTACATTGTGTACAAACATGACAAATGTCTACCAACAACTATCTAACTTACATAAGCTGCATCCTGATTTATGATATACAGTAAAGATTTGGACTAAAAATTTTAGTTCAAACCATAAGCTTGCAAATTATAACTTATAAGCCTTGCTATTTTGATAGAAAGGGATTTTCTTCAGGTCAAAATATTCAAAACTGATATTTAGACCCATTCTCATTGTAAATTCAGTCACGATTCTCCTCCCAGTTGACAGACTTTAATTCTTTTGAATAGATATCTTTTGTACATACATATATGTATAGCAATATTTCTTCTGGAAAAATAACTTGGCCCCCACTTACTCCATGTGTTTCTAAGTTATATTTTGGTTTGTTATCCCATTGCAGGAACATCATCTCCAGAGATACCTATCAGCCCAACAAGTTTACGGTACTGCAGAAGCACTTGTCATCCCTATACCTGATGTTGAGACCATTAAGGAAGATTATGATAAATTGTATAAAGGAGAATTTAAGCCCACTAAACAGTATATCCATATCCAGGGTGAGTAGAAAAGTTTTTTTTAGGCCATTTTGCTCTATTCTTTATACTTTTTGCCCATTATTCTCTATTCTTTATATTTTAGCACCTCATTATTCTCTATTCTTTATTTTTTTGGTCCATTTTTCTCTTATTTAAATTTTTTGCCCATTATTCTCTATTCTGTAAATCCCCATCCACACCCTCATATCACATTGATTATTTGAATACTACTGGTATTGCAAGGTTTTCAATAAGTTTGAAGTGAAGAGCTGTTTACTTATTTGAAGCCCCCCCCCCCCCCCCCCCCCCCCCCCCCCCCCCCCCCCCCTGAAAAATGTTTTGGACTTACATTGAAAATGATGCACTCTGAGGTATATTCAGACTGTTTACAAGAGCATAGAAAATGAGGTTTCATAGGAATAATATCTTTTTTAGCTTATTTTTAGGAAGGTTAATCTTATTAGTAAATTGTTATATATATTGCTTATCAGATAAAAACATAAACTGGAAACAGGATAAGCAATTCATGTACATCGACCTGTTGTTACACTGACATATTGTGTGTTCTTATTCAGAATGGCGTCAATAATTATATATATACTTGATGACCATATCAGCGTTGAATGGATCTGAAAGTTATTATGATCATTATTAAAGAATTGTCAATCTCAACAACTATCGATATTCATGCGTAAATTACATAATATGTGAATCTGTTTTCACCTGCTTCTTTTTCTTTAGTGGGGCTGTAAAGAAATTAAGCAACGTTGGTTTTCTTTTTGCTTGTTTACATGTCATCTTGGATCAACATGTGTTTTCACTCTTGGACAAAAAGGCGCTTTACTAATATGTAGAATCATCCTTTTTTTAAGCGCACAAATGATCGCATTTAAAATCATTTCGGATGTCACGTTCCTTATCAATCTTCGTAAAGTTGTCAAGAATCTAAAAATACAACGCGGACCTCGATGAGAACACCTAAACAAAGCGCAATCGAAGGCAAAAGTCAATTCAATCGTCAACAACTTGTTTTAAGGAACGATAGCACAGTTTTATTTATTTTATTAGGCAGTTAAGCTGCCTTATGCTACCACCCTAGATTTGTGTTCTTCCCACAGAATGGCGAAAAAAGTGCTGTTATTATTATCTAGCTGGCTAATATGTTATTAATAACTAATTGGGCACTTTTTTCATACTTTTAATTCTGGAATACAAAAAATATGACCAGAAAAACCTTAAATGATCGTCGAACAACCCAAAAGTTTTGAAGTTGCACATAGGAAGTAGTGCTCAATAGAAATTCGTATGTAGTTTATTTTCCCCCGTGTTTTTGGCTAAGATGTCAAAGAACAATTGTATGAAATATTTAATCGTCGAAAAACTCTAAAGACAAGTCGTTTACTTTTCCCAAATGGCAAAAGTCGTAGGAATATTGTTTGTCGTCGATACGTATTAAATACGTCAGTAGTCTATTAATAAGTTGGCGGCAATTTCAAATTAGAAGACGAAATTTACGTATCTTTTAAATTTGGAGGATTCTGATGATAGAAAGGTAATTATTGTTAATCATGATATTCTTTTTGTTTGAGATGAGTGTTAATAAATTGTGTATTCACATTTGGATTTCATTCTTTTGTATTACTCCGTTTTTCACATAAATGACCTTGTCAAGTAATGCACCAACATGGTGTTTACACTTGTTGAATAAAACCGGAAATCAAGAAGGTCTCACTAATTACCGACAAGAAGATTGTAGAGACAATAAGCGACAAGAAGATAAAACTTAGCGACAGGAAGAATGAATTTGCGATAAGAAGATAAATTTAGAGACAAGAAAGTTTATACACTGTTAGAATAATAAATTTATAGAAAAGTCAATTAATTACAGTTGATTATTTTCTGTTGTGTGAAGTTTAAAATTATGTTACATTTAGTAGCCGTCCGTACTTCTTGACGCTTCTTGTCGTTTCTTGTCGCTAAGAGACCTTGTAAATATGTCAAACTTGCCGAGACTGACAGTAGTATGTGATATACATGTATATGGATTTTAGACTCAGAAAGATCGTGTGATAATAGAAAGTCACAAGAAAATGTAGAAACCCCATTCATATATCACTGTATACAGGTACGGATGTCCGAAAAATGTATAAAATCAGCGAGAATCAAAAAAGAGCAAATGTGAATATAGGAAATATATGCGGATAAAAGAATTCGGTCTAGATCACCTTGATCTTGACATGAAGCCAGTGTCCTACTCTCAGGCACTTGTTTATATCCATGGGAAGATTTAGGAGCTCAAAATATACGTTGATATTGGGTCTTCCCATGCAAAGAAACAAGTGCATGTGGTCAGACTTTGACATTTCAATGTTTACGATATTTTTTCTAAACCAGAACTTTTTTTATTTCTGGCCAATCTGGGCCTAAAAAAATCTTCATCTATGGCCCATTTTAAAGAAGATATATCTTTCAAGAAGTGTAAAGTCCAAGAATGTTTTACCAACCGTTTATTTATTCCAATATTGATATAGATCTCGAGTAACATCATGGACTTGGAGGGGGCGGGTCAAGGCAGGTCGCTGACTGACCTAAGGGGTGGGCCCCGCTCCAGTCATGCTTCAGTGATTCCCTATATAATCAACCAAATTTTTCCCACAAAAGGGGGGCCAGAGCCCCCCCCCCCCCCCCTGGATCCGCCTATGCCATGATCCCATAATGATTTCTTTTCAAATTAATTGACAAAACTTGTGTAAATATAATTTATCATGATTGTATATTCTAAATAAACAATATAAATATTTGTATTTGTTTTTATTTTAGCTAGATTCCAATTCTTGGCTTTAATATCCTAGAAGTGACAAGACATGCATGTACAATACATGATACTATCTAGTAGCTGCATTGACTAGTCATCATAATAATTCCATGACAGCTATGAAATTCTAGACCTTTTTGATGTTTTAAATATAGTTATACATGTATGACATGTTTATCTACAGATATGATCGAAGTACATGAACTATGAAACTTTTTACCAGGTCTTATCATATGACGACTAGTCAGACAAATTTTGGTTCAGATTTCTGACAGGAATTTTTACAAAATTGCCAGGGGTTACAACACATGAATATTATTTTCATGGAGTTTACTGTAACCGTCCAGTTATTTTTAGAGGCTGTCTAATGATATGTCTGTGCAACTGTTACTATAAAATGTGGGAGATACATCGTATAATATGCACACTATTAATATATATATACAAGTAGTAACCCAGGTATCAGTTATATAAAGATAGTTTGAATACATATACATAATGATGATACAATGTGCAGATACATGAAATATGTTTTATAAAGTATGTAAGAAATGAAGAATATAAACATATTAAAAAAGACAGGCACAATATTTGTATGAAATTTGATGTAAATGTAATAGGTTGGACACTTAGAAGTACAATAATCATGTAAAAGAAAATTAAAAGCATTTCTAGCCCAACAATATAATCATTTTGTGTAATATGATATATGCATGATAAACAATAAAATTACACCACCTCACATTGTTCCCAGTATTATTGAATCAGTTTTTGTAAGGATTGACACCTGCTGATCTGACTAAAAATGCTAATGTGGCATATGAAAACTCTGAGTACATATGGAAACTAAACTATACAACACTGTAGTGTATAAAACCTTAATTCTGACGACATTATTGCTGCATAAGTTAAATTCATTCATCAGGGTATTGAAAAGTTGATAGAAATAAGCATCTGTATGTCACATACGGCCTGTAACAATGAGCAAAACTCATACCACATAGAATGAAGCTGTCAATTGCCTTGAAATGACAAATGTAAAACAATTCCAACAAGCAAACCAGCATCCTGATTTATGTACAAATCAATAATGAAAAACAAATATGATATACAGCAACAAATGACAACCACTGAATGACTTCGGACAGACACACACGTAAGCTGGCGCCAACCCCCCCCCCCCCCCCCCCCCCCCTTACCTGGGACAGTGTACATACATCTTCACAGACTTTCAATCATCGAAAGGATACATATTTTAAAGTAATTTAAAAATGAATAATAAACGTTTGAAAACAAATGTTATATTGTTAGCGAAAAATGTGTAGGATAGTGATAGTACAGCACATGACAAAAAACAAATCTGAAAAATGAGATAAAACAAGCTATGACAATTTAAGCAACACTGCCACAGTTTTCATCATATTTTTGATTAACTGCCTATAGCGCTTACAGTGCTTTGATTTTTATTTGGAAACACAATTTGAACCAGTGATTTCCTTAAATTGAAACGGGGAAATTTCGACATGTGCCAGTGCTTATTGAAAACCCTAGTATTGTCAAGTAATTGTTCTTGTTAACTTCACTGATTCTAATTTTGTTATACTCCATTGGTAAATATGTATTTTAGCATGTGGTATGGAACAAGAAATACCTGATTATGACATGGATAGTGAGGATGAATCCTGGGTAGAACATCAGAGTAAGAAGATGGAAATTTCTCCACTCAAGTTTGAAGAGATGATGGACAGACTAGAAAAGGGGAGTGGTCAACAGGTATGTTTTATTGTCTTTCTTCGCTTTTTGGTTCTGCTGACTGACACTGGAACGTCAAAGTTTAAATTGATCCACACATTTCATTTTTCTATGTATCTATAATTTCGCTCAAAATGTAATCTGGTGGGAGAACTCATTTGCATCAGTCTTTTACATTGTGTCATTATTTAGCCTAACAATCATCTAAGAATAGAAGCATTTTCTTTTCTGTGTATTTTTTTACTGTTGCAACATGGAAAGTTTTTGCTGGTCTAAGCTTCAGAAAATTGAATGTAAAAAGGTAAGACTTCCAAATTCTGTTGGAGTTTTTATCCTTTGATCAGGTTAAAAGTGGGAAATTTGAACAACACACATTTTTAACTAAATCTTTCGTGTCTGTGTTGTGATTATTTAAGGTTGTGGTGGATTTTCTCTCACATAAATGTTTCTGATCTATAAAACAAGAACTCATTTAAATTTTCTGTTTTTTTTTTTTCAGGTTGTCACACTGCAGGAAGCCAAACTTTTGCTGAAGGAAGATGATGATCTGATCATAGCTGTGTACGACTATTGGCTAAACAAACGTTTACGCTTGGTAAGCCTTATCCTTGCTCGTACACTTCTGTCCTCCTGTTTGTCAGTGGAAGGTCAAAGGTATAGCTTAGCTTTAATGAATCTGTTTTACAGATTGAATCCCTTCTTTTCATTGCTTATCCACTGTTAAATTCTGTTTATGATTCATAAGGTAGTATTTCTACAAACATACATGTGTCAACTATTTCTTGCAGCTGGTCCAATTAAGATTTTACTTGCAGCTATTTAGACATGTTAGATAAATAATGTTGATAAGGGCTGTTCCTTTAAAACATACATTGTACACAGGTAAGGTACTTTGAAAATAGGGCAACAGCCTAAATAGGTATTTTAGATTTTCACTTTGATTTTCACAATATAAAAAAGGATTTAAAATTTGGAAATGCACGACTAGGGTATGTTTTAATTGAAGAACCCTAAGGTAACATTCATATGATTTTAGTCATAACTCTGTAAAAAAAATTTAATGGTAGTAATTAATAGAAACAAAATACATGTCTTCTTACATTACAGTTATATTAACCAGCTAATATCATATTGCTTAAAATTGAAATTTGCAATGAAAGAACAGGAAGTAGAGGAAAAAAAGAATATTGCTCATGTATGCATATTGATTTTGGGGTGTTTTGTTTTGTACAATTTGTTTACATCATGTTCGAGTATGTTTTGGTGCATCTTCGCTACCCAAGGGTTAAGATCCACATGGTATTGATTTCCATTGGTTGCAGTTGTAACTGGCTGCATCCAGTCAAAAAGGGCCTTTAAGATGATCAGGTGTAAATGTCTAAAATGTAAATAAACAATTGCCACATGCTGATTGTGTAAGGTCTTTACCCCAAAACATAGGACGATATTTAGAGAAAATTCAAAGTTCTAAATCAACTAATTGGAAGTTCTTGGGTATGTTTCTCATGCAATGTTTGAATGTCAACAAATATTTTCGGTTCCTGCTTCACGAAATTTGTAAACACTAGACAACTATTTTTACACCTCCATACTGAAGAGAGTTCAAGTGCTACCATTGGTCAAGAATGTAATAGTCAGAATGGGGGTGACTTTTATCACAAATGTTGGCTTAATCTGGCATAAATGGAGAGGAGGGGACTGGATTGTAACCCTCGGCTAGCAAAGATGGTTTTTGTGAAATGATCATTAGTTAAAATAATAATATTAAAGAAAATAATGGCAATAATGAAATATTGTATTTAAAGTTATCAATAAATGCAAGTCTGTCAAATTCTTTTTAGGCCCATCCTTTGATACTTCAAGTGAAAACAGAAAAAAGAGATGGATCAACTACTAATAATCCATATGTTGCATTTAGAAGGAGAACAGAAAAGATGCAGACTAGAAAGGTTGGTGGAAAGAGATACTTGGAAGAAAATTTTATAGGAATTAAGCTATTTCTTTTATATTAAACCAAAAAGATTGTCAGAATTGCTGTTTGTTAAAATGGAGGTTGTGATGATATGGGTTATTTAGTTAGGTCTTGTGTTACATTGATTCCTGTAAATATTTTGTGCTTCAGAAAAATTGATGTACCCTAAAGGGTTTTGCTCTCTGTGTCAGGTAGAATGGTTTTTGGATTTTAACTTTAGTCAATCTCGACAGATATCGTTCTATTGTGGCATAATTTTTTACCATTTAATAAATTATGGGTTACATCTTAATTTTGCTATATTGGCTGAATCAGTTTCATTGAAAGTGATAAAAATTGAAAGAAGGGGTAAAAGTAGTAGGGCGATAAGGGTCCTTTTTATGCCCCTCTCAAAAGAAGAGGGATATTCAATATTACATCTGTCTGTCTGTGTGTCTCCCCATTGGTCCCATGAAATTTTTGTTGCATTTCAGAAACTACAAATTTGGAAAAATGGTATCAAGCTTCTTGTGAGCATGATATTCTGTGAAAGGCATTTTCAGATTCATTGCTTAACAGTTTCCTGTTTACCAAAAACTTTTATATTCTTTATAATACATATTTGTCACAAGGTTGGGCGGTATTTACCGCCCCTGGTATTTACCAGTGGTATTTACCGGTATTTACCGCCCCGGACAATACTCCCCAAGTGGTCAATACTGGCAAATACTGGTCAATTGAAATTTTCATGCTTCTTTTGACTGACTTATCTATCAATTCTTGTAAAAAATTGGTTGATGAGGGAAAACTTTATTCCTTTGGCATGATTCAGTTTATAAAAATTTGTAAGGGTTCCGCGGAACCCAGTGTCTCGCCTACTTTTGCTGTTAATCACAGGCTGAACAAAAATGAGGAAAAAAATTAATAAAAATATTCCTCTCTATACTATCTTTTGATTGTAAGTAGCTTCTTTCCAAGTTTGGTAAAAATCCATTAAAGTTTATGAATCTAATAAATGTTTTAAAAACTTAAACTGCAGACTGTTATGTAATGTTAACTGGAAGAAAAACTAAGTCCATTTATAAGTAAAATACGGAAAAAATGGAACAAAATTTTAACAAAATTTCCTTTGAGATACTAGCTTTTAATCATAAACAAGCTTCTGTCCAAGTTTGGTACAAATCCAGGATAGTTTAAGAAAGTTGTTAAAATTTTAAAAACTTTAACCACAGAGTGAATGTAATGTTAACTGGCAGAAAAACTAAGTCCATTTATAAGTAAAATACGGATAAAAGATTTTTTTTTTTACAAAATTTACTTTTGAATATTATCTTATGATCATAAACAAATTTTTTGAAGTTTGGTAGAAATCCAGGATAGTTTAAGAAAGTTATTAAAATTTCAAAAACTTTAACCACAGAGTGAATATTTGTGGACGCCGCCGACGGAATGTAGGATCGCTATGTCTCGCTTTTTCGACAAAAGTCGAAGGCTCGACAAAAATGAATGATATTGGTATGTTATTAACTATTAAAAATGACTACTTTAGTTCTTAGGGGGTAATGATATTGCATACTTTTGGTATACATATAAAAATGCTATATCAGTTATTTCAACATGTATAAATCAAGATATTTTTTTCTTGAAAAGGTTTGAATTTTACAGGTAAATAGAATTACAAGTGACTAACAATATAGATTATCAGAGCATATATAATTACCTATTACATGGCTAACAGGTGTCAAAAGTTTAATTACTATAACAACTGTCCCCTAATAAATGTTGACATAACAGGAAAAAGGTCATAAAAGTGATTTCTGAAGATTGTTTTTAACAATGAATTAATTCCTGACTATTAAACAGCATGATAAAAATCTTCTAAATTCAGGAAATGTTTTTTTTTTATAAATATATAACATATATAAATCTATAAAACAATTTTTATAAATTTTTTAATTGCATCTTTCAAAATAACTGTTAAGAAAACCAGATGTTATATAGTCTCTTTTAAGTGATTGACTTCATGGTGTTAATGACTATATCTGTTGTATGATTTAATTAATATTTGATAAATCTTCATTAAACCATGTTCATGAACTAATTAATTGTGACTTTTTGTCCTAGTACAACATTGTACAAGGTAGTATATAAGTGACTTTCTGCCTTGTGACTATATCTATCCATTTACCAAGTAATTGACCTGAGGTAGGGACTAGTTTTTATACGACCGCAAAAAAATTTTGTGGTCGTATATTGGTATGACGTTGGCGTCGTCGTCGTCGTTGTCGTCGTCGTCCGAATACACAATGGTTTTCGCACTCTAACTTTAGTTTAAGTGAATGGATCTCTATGAAATTTTACCATAAGGTTCAATACCACAATAGGAAGGTGGGGATTGATTTTGGGGGTTATGGTACCAACAGTTAAATAATTAGGGGCCAAAAAGGGGCCGAAAATAAGCATTTTTGTAACTTCCAGACATAACTTGTGTGTTATTGTATGGATCTCTTTGACATTGTACTACAAGATTCCATATCACAAAGGGTCGATGATGGGATTGATTTTGGGGTTAATTTCCTCGAAATTTTAGGAATAAGGGGCCAAAAGGGGGCAAAAAACAAGCATTTTTCTAGTTTCATGACAATAACTTGTGTGTAAGTGTATGGATCTTTCTGAAATTTTACTACAAGGTTCCATTTCGCAAAGGGAAAGCTGGAATTGAGTTTTGTGGTAATTGCCCAAAACGTTTAGTAATAAGGGGCCTAAAAAGGGGTGAAAAATAAGCATTTTTTAGTTTCTAGACAATAACTTGTGTTCAAGTGTATGGATCTCTCTAAAATTGTATTACAAGGTACCATACCACAAAGGCAAGGCTGTTATTGAGCTTGGTTTGGGGGGGAAAGGGGGGTGATGAATCATAAGGGGGGGGGGTCAAAAAAGGGGTAATTATTTTTTTTCGTTTAAGGAATAAGGGGAAAAAAGGTTAAAAAACTAGGGTTTCCATTTTAATAGACAAATAATTGAGTAAAGAACATTATTTTAAAGCAGTGTAAGGTTGGTAATTCAAACTCATTTAAATATCTCACCTGCACTATGTTTGAATTATGTAAATTGGAAATTTGCCAATTATTTTAGTATAATAAACTTCATTGGAAATTTGCCAATATAAAATTTTGCTGATGAAGGTTTTTTGTTTACCTTTAGTCTGACTATGATGTCATTTTCTATTTTAATAGCCTTATGATGTAGTTAAATTTTTTTTAATACTTTTATGATGTATTTTAATGCGCTTTTATGGTTGCAAATTTATTGTTTTAATATAATAAACTCCATTGGAAATTTACCAATAGTTTGTATATTTTTAGCTATGACTATGATGTCATTTTCTATTTAATTTTAAGGTTACAAATTAATTTCAGTTTTAAATATTATTTTAAAATGTTTGCCCAAAACATTTATTAATAAGGGGCCAAAAAAGGGGGCAAAAATAAGCATTTTTTTTAGTTTCCAGACATTAACTTGTGTTCAAGTGTATGGATTTCTCTGAAATTGTACTTAAAGGTACCATACCACAAAGGGAAGTGGGTCAAAAAATTTTTTTGGGGGGGGGATTTTTTTTCCTTTTTTTTTTCTTTAAAATTTTCCATTTTAAGTTGGTTAATTCTGATCACAAAGAGAAAGTTGGAATTGAGTTTGGGGGATAATTGCTCAAATGTTTAGGAATAAGGGGCTAAAAAAGGGGTTAAAAATAAGCATTTTTTTTTAGTTTCCAACAATTAATTGTGTTTAAGTAATTGGATCTCTGTGAAATTGTACTGCAAGGTACCATACCACAAACTGAAGGCTGGGATTGAGTTTGGGGGGGCGTGATGTGTGAAAATTTTCCACTTAAAGTTGGTTAATTATTTCTGATTTAGATATAAAAGCAAATAATAATGATGTGGTTTGATTTTATCAAAAACTTAAATTGAAGTTATATATATTGTAAATTTAGGTTACATTGGAATTTAAGAATTGGCTTTGGGGTAGGGTTATGGCTCAAACCTTTAAATAATAAGGGAAAAAAAGGTGAAAAAACAAGGGTTTCCAGGTTAATAGACAAATAAGTACAAAACATTATTTAAAAGCAGTGTAAGGTTGGTAATTCAAACTCATTTAAATATCTCACTTACACTGCTTTTAAATTATGTAAATTAGAAATTTGCCAATAACTTTATTGTTAATAAATGCATTGGAAATTTGCCAACAATTTTAGTATAATAAACTTCATTGGAAATTTGCCAATATAAAATTTTGCTGATGAAGGTTTTTTGTTTACCTTTAGCCTTGACTATGAAGTCATTTTCTATTTTTATAGCCTTATGATGTAGTTGAATTATTTAATACTTTTATGATGTGTTTAAATGGGGTTTTATCATGTTTATGGTTGCAAATTTATTGTTTTAGTTTAATAAACTCCATTTAAAATTTGGTAATAAAAAAAAATTTGGTTTATTTTTAGCTATGATTATGATGTCATTTTCTATTTTACTTTTATGGTTGCAAAGAAATTTTTATTTTTAGATATTACTGTTAAATGATGCTGATTAAGGTTTTTGCTATGTTTAGCCATGACTATGATGTCATTTTCTATTTTAATATCTGTCATGATGTATTTAAATGGGCTTTTATGGTTACAAAGGAATTTTATTTTTAGATATTACTGTAAAATGTTGCTGATTAAGGATTTTGTTTATTTTTAGCCATGACTATGATGTCATTTTCTATTTTAATACCTTTATTATGTAATTTCCATTTTTAGCTCACCTGGCCGAAAGGCAAAGTGAGCTTTTCTCATCACTTGGCGTCCGTCGTCCGTCGTCGGCGTTAACTTTTTACATTTTGAACTTCTTCTAGAGAACCACGGAATGGAATGAAACCAAACATGGCATGAATGTTCCTTATGAGGTGCTGACCAAGTGTTGTTACTTTGTAGCCGATCCATCATCCAAGATGGCCGCCAGCGGGGGACTTAGTTTAACATAGGACCCTATGGGAAATACATACAAATGACTTCTTTTAGAGAACCACTGAATGGAATGAAACCAAACATGGCATGAATGTTCCTTATGAGGTGCTGACCATGTGTTGTTACTTTGTAGCCGATCCATCATCCAAGATGGCCGCCATTGGGGAACTTAGTTTAACATAGGACCCTATGGGAAATACATACAAATGTCTTCTTTTAGAGAACCACTGAATGGAATGAAACCAAACATGGCATGAATGTTCCTTATGAGGTGCTGACCAAGTGTTGTTACTTTGTAGCAGATCCATCATCCAAGATGGCCGCCAGCGGGGGACTTAGTTTAACATAGGACCCTATGGGAAATACATAAAAATGTCTTCTTTTAGAGAACCACTGAATGGAATGGAACCAAACATGGCATGAATGTTCCTTATGAGATGCTGACCAAGTGTTGTTACTTTGCAGTCGGTCCATCATCCAAGATGGCCGCCAGCAGGGGACTTAGTTTAACATAGGACCCTACGGGAAATACATAAAAATGTCTTCTTTTAGAGAACCACTGAATGGAATGAAACCAAACATGGCATGAATGTCCCTTATAAGGTGCTGACCAAGTGTTGTTACTTTGTAGCAGATCCATCATCCAAGATGGCCGCCAGCGGGGGACTTAGTTTAACATAGGACCCTATGGGAAATACATACAAATGTCTTCTTTTAGAGAACCACTGAATGGAATGAAACCAAACATGGCATGAATGTCCCTTATGAGGTGCTGACCAAGTGTTGTTACTTTGCAGTCGGTCCATCATCCAAGATGGCTGACAGCAGGGGACTTAGTTTAACAAAGGACCTATGGGAAATACATACAAATGTCTTCTTTTAGCGAACCACTGAATGGAATGAAACCAAACATGGCATGAATGTTCCTTATGAGGTACTGACCAAGTGTTGTTACTTTGCAGTCGGTCCATCATCCAAGATGGCCGACAGCAGGGGACTTAGTTTAACAAAGGACCCTATGGGAAATACATACAAATGTCATCTTTTAGAGAACCACTGAATGGAATGAAACCAAACATGGCATGAATCTTCCTTATGAGATGCTGACCAAGTGTTGTTACTTTGTAGCTGATCCATCATCCAAGATGGCCGACAGCGGGGGACTTACTTTAACATAGGACCCTATGGCAAATACATACAATTGTCTTCTTTTAGAGAACCACTGAATGGAATTGAACCAAACATGGCATGAATGTTCCTTATGAGTTGGTGACCAAGTGTTGTTACTTTGCAGTCGATCCATCATCCAAGATGGCCGACAGCGGGGGACTTACTTTAACATAGGACCCTATGGGAAATACATACAATTGTCTTCTTTTAGAGAACCACTGAATGGAATTGAACCAAACATGGCATGAATGTTCCTTATGAGATGCTCACCAAGTGTTGTTACTTTGTAGCCGATCCATCATCCAAGATGGCCGCCAGCGGGGGACTTAGTTTAACATAGGACCCTACGGGAAATGCATACAAATGACTTCTTTTAGAGAACCACTGAATGGAATAAAACCAAACATGGCATGAATGTTCCTTATGAGGTGCTGACCATGTGTTGTTACTTTGTAGCCGATCCATCATCCAAGATGGCGGCCATCGGGGAACTTAGTTTAACATAGGACCCTATGGGAAATACATACAAATGTCTTCTTTTAGAGAACCACTGAATGGAATGAAACCAAACATGGCATGAATGTTCCTTATGAGGTGCTGACCAAGTGTTGTTACTTTGTAGCAGATCCATCATCCAAGATGGCCACCAGCGGGGGACTTAGTTTAACATAGGACCCTAGGGGAAATACATAAAAATGTCTTCTTTTAGAGAACCACTGAATGGAATGAAACCAAACATGGCATGAATGTCCCTTATGAGGTGCTGACCAAGTGTTGTTACTTTGTGAGAGATCCATCATCCAAGATGGCCGACAGCAGGGGACTTAGTTTAACAAAGGACCCTATGGGAAATACATACAAATGTCTTCTTTTAGAGTACCACTGAATGGAATGAAACCAAACATGGCATGAATGTTCCTTATGAAGTGCTGACCAAGTGTTGCTACTTTGTTGCCGATTTACTGTTCAAGATGGCCACCAGGATATTTTATTAAATAACGGGACCAATATTAATCAAAATTTGGCCTCAATCATTATTTGGGTATCTGTTATGATTTTTTTATCTATCTTTACATGATTTCTAAAACCAAAGTAGAGTCAGGTGAGCGACACAGGCTCTTGAGAGCCTCTAGTTAGATATTACTGTTAAATGATGCTGATTGAGGGTTTGAATGCTGGGATTGATTTTGGGGGTAATTGCCTCCAAATTTTAGGAATTAGGGGGCAAAAAACAAGCATTTTTCTAGTTTCATGACAATAACTTGTGTGTAAGTGTATGGATATTTATGAAATTGTACTACAAGGTTCCATATCACAAAGGGAAAGCTGGAATTGAGTGTGGGGGTACTTGCCCAAAACGTTTAGGAATAAGGGGCCAAAAATAAGCATTTTTCTAGTTTCCAGACAATAACTTGTGTTCAAGTGTATGGATCTCTCTGAAATTGTACTGCAAGGTACCATACCACAAAGGGAAGGCTGGGATTGTTTTTGGGGGTAATTGTCTCAAAATGTTAGGAATTAGGGGCCATAAAGGGGCAAAAAAACAAGCATTTTTCTAGTTTCATGACAATAACTTGTGTGTAAGTGTATGGATCTTTATGACATTGTACTGCAAGGTTCCATATCACAAAGGGAAAGCTTGGTTTGAGTTTGGGGTAATTGCCCTAAACTTTTAGGAATTTGGGGCCAAAAAGGTGCAAAAAACCCAAGCATTTTTCTAGTTTCCAGACAATAATTTGTGTTCAAGTGTATGGATCTCTCTGAAATTGTACTGCAAGGTACCATACCACAAAGGGAAGGCTGGGATTGAGTTTGGGGGTGATGAATCATAAGGGGGTTTCAAAAAATTTGGGGGGGGGGATTTTTTTGTCCTTTTTTTTCTTTAAAATTTTCCATTTTAAATTGGTTATTTCTGATTTATATATAAAAGCAAATAATAATGATATGGTTTGAATAGGTAAATTAAAAAAATTTAAGTTCTTAGACTACTTTCATTATGTGTGAGAAACCTATGCTGTGTCAAATATTTAATTACAATCCAAATTCAGTGCTGTATCAAGCTTGAATGTTGTGTCCATACTTGCCCCAACTGTTCAGGGTTCGACCTCTGTGGTCGTATCAAGCTGCGCCCCAGCGGAGCATTTTATTATAGTAAAGTCCTCTCAAAATTTCAGTTGACCAGTATTTGCCAGTATTGACCAGTATTTGCCAGTATTTCCCAGTATTTACCAGTATTTACCGCCGGCATGGTCAATACTAGTATTGACCACTTTTTTGCCAACCTTGATTTGCCATGTACGAATATTTTTTTCCTGAATTTACATAAACTATATGTCTGTGCACATCATAGATAAAAATAGATTATGCAAGACTATTTACTGCACCGAATTCAGCTGTTTATTGTCTGAGGTCTTTTACACAAACAAACACAAACAACTTGAAATTACAGAAGTTTCACTAGACATTTTCAACAATTGATGACAAGTTTTTTTTTCCAGAATTCCTGTGGCAAAAAAGTTTTTCCAATTAAGGAACTCTTTGGACTAAACACAGCTAATTTACGTAGTTCAAATGGTGACAGGTGAAATGTGTTTTTGTAATGTAGAAATTGTTGTAGGGTATACATATGAGTCTGACAGGCATCATCTAACCTTCACCTTATTTCCATAGTTAAGTGTTCGCATTAGGTCATCATCGTTTGGTCAGATTCTTGATTATAATAATTGATAGGTAACCATATATGAGCATGTCACATATTATATGCTGTTGAAAATAGAAATGTCAATTTAAAATTTCATTTTATGATTATTTCTATTTCAGAATAGGAAGAATGATGAAACTTCTTATGAAAAAATGTTGAAATTAAGACGAGATCTCAATAGAGCTGTGTAAGTTACATAATTATAGATAAATTAAATAGACCTTGAATAGGAAGTCACTTCTGTTGAAACTTGTTTGATCCAGCAAACTAGGAAAACAGTTTTTTGGAAAAATTGGAACTTGTTCCAATTCTTTCCTAAGGCACCGGCCTCTCAAACAGAAAGTAGACAGATTTGCTATTAAATTGTTACTAGATCTATACACACTGACACACAGTTCCCAATTGTTCTCATGTCTGTGTACATATGCACAAATGAACTGTAAAAAATTTGGTTACATCTTAATTTAGAGCATTTTTTCAAGAATAATAGTGATAACTTTTTTGAATTTACTGGCTAGTTATGTCTTTTTTTTATTAAGTAAGAGTATTGATACAATATCAGTATGATTGACAACTGTCATGATCAAAGAACAATTAAACACAAAGGGTGGGGCAATAATTGGAATTGTATATAGACCCCTCCCCTTTAATGCCAATCATAATTGACCAAATTACATAACTAGTGAGTTTATCAATAACATGACAGACCACTCAATACACAACAACTTGACCTCATTAGTATTAGTTAGATGTTTGATCTTTATAGGTCAGTATCATTAGGTGGTCTCTGTCTTCATGTGTAATTTATACATTTGTACATATGGTTAACATAAATATTAAATGTGCATTTCTTTAATAAAATTGAATACAGATGATAGATTTTAATCATTTACCTACATGTATATATAACTTTTCATTTACACTGCATTTAACTGCATTTAACAAAAGATGAGATAAATGTAAATTTTGGGAGATAAAAATAGGACTAGGTTTCAAGTCTCTTTATCCATTGGTCCCAGGTTTACTGAGAAACTACAATAATTGTTTTTATTAGGTAATTTCTTCTGTTTCAAAAAATATAAATATTAAGTTGCAATCTAAAAGAAGTAATTATGCAGTAATGTAACTAACAAATATGCAATAGTGCTATAGCAAGTTTTTGTTGTCCACCACCACTGCAATGGAAGAGTTAATTTGATTGAAATTATACACACAATTCTTTCAATCTTACCGTCAGTGATTTCAGATCACTTTGATTTTTTCATCATTTGACATCTGTCATGGCTGTCTGTTAACTATTTTAAAAATATCCTCCTCTGAAACTACTGGACCAATTCAATACGAACTTTGCCACAATGATCCTTGGTTTTAAAAAATGGGCCCGGTAATCCCTCACAGCTAATATAGAACATAGGGGTAAAATACAATTTTTGTCTATTATCTTGAAAACTACTAAAAGATAATCAGACTGTTGAGATCTAAAGAAAATCTGACATTACCAGAAAATGTTAAGAATGTTGAGGTCTACCTGCTGTTCATTAATATTAAATCTGTCGGACACTTTTTATAGTTGCTGACTTTGAGGTCATACAGTTCAGTAGTAAGGGCAGTAAATAATACATCCAAAATTGAGGTTTGGTTTTTGTTACATGACTAATGATAATCATCGATTGGTAACATGAATTTGAAAATATTTGCAAAGGAAGAAAAAAATGGTGTATATTGAAGCAAGGGAAATCTAATGTTGGGGCCTAAAATTTGAGGCAAATGAAAACCGTTTACTTTTCTATCATCAATATATTCATGTATGGCAGTAATTGGAATAGTGGTTTTACGTACAATGGGAATAGCTGCATGACAATGTTGCATCAGGGATACACTGCGTTGTCATTTAGCACCAAGAAAGGGAAATGAGATCTCTAGCTAAAAAAATTTGAGTCTAGTGCTGGTCAATTTAAACAGTTAACACGGTGTTTTTACTATCAATATGTTCAGTTTATCAATTTCAGCTCTTGGGCTCATATGATAATGATAATCAATTCTTTTTTGGAAGAGGGTAATCACAGATAGTTTAAACTAATCTTCTCTGCGGCCCTCACATACAATCCAATCAAAACAGATATATTTACACATAGTAAATTTACAATCATATTGTTGCGCGTTATAAAAGATAACCGTTAAAGAGGTACATGTTGTAAAAAATAGAAAAATAAAATATACAAATCAAAATAACACATTTTAAAACTTTTATAGAGGTACCTGTTGTAAAAAATAGAAAAATATGATATACAAATCAAAATAATACATTTTAAAAACAGTAGTTTATTTGTTACAGATGTATGGCTACAATACTGGCTATATAAGTTAATTTCATACCTGTAATATAAATTATATAGTTGATTCTTTATACTCCAGAACACTCTTAGAAATGATCAAAAGAAGAGAGAAGACCAAGAAAGAAATGGTTCAGTTGACAATAGAGGTTGTAGATAAAAGGTAAATGCAGCACATTAAACAAGTTACAATATTTAAAAATAAAAAAAAAACAACAGAAAACTGGGTGTCATACCATATTCCCTTTCTACTAATTACAAATGTCCAAATAAATTTAAACTTTGATCTTAGTACATAGCAGTATAACGGGATAAAAATTTTCTAAGAATACTGTGGTTTCATATATGTTGTGGATACCAATTTTCGTGGACTGGGAAAAGACCATTTTTGTGGACACTTGATTTGGTGGTTTTGCAAAAGTTTGCATACAATCCTATAGAAAATTTGTACGGAGTTGGAGTTGAACACTTAAATTCCAGATTCTGCGTCGTGAAATGTATTAACCTGCATGTCTGCTTAAAGAAGATGTGGAATACAAAAATTAGTGTTAGTAAGTGAAAATTATAGCCTATATATTCAATTTTAAATATTATCGACACTGCTATGTTGTTTTGTATTTTAGGTATGCAGCAGAAGATTATGAAGGTAAAATGTTGGAAGAAGCAGAAGCATTAAGACACAAAATGCCATCTTTTTTGTCACCATATACCTATGGAGGAGGTTGGAGTCAGGTTTGTGACTAATTCTTGCAATAAATTTTCATGTAAATTGGTAATTAATACAATTGTGAATTATCAAAAATTGAAGGAATGCAAAATTTGGTGGTTCACCTCGTATATATGGACTTGTGAATGACGCAAATTACAGAACAAATTCACATTACAATATTCAATTCCTCAGATGGTGCATGATTATATTCCTTGATTTGAATAGGAGCTATGTTCCCTAATATTTCATTTCAAATGCTTGAATAATCAAATTCTTTAAATTCAAGAAAATGTACTTGTTAAATTAAAAGTATAATGTCCTTCATTTAGAAGATTGGTTACAATAAATAGATTGTTTGCCAAATGTATTGTGAAAAGGCTTAAATATAAAAACTCTGGTAATATTAAATACACTGTTATTTACGGGTGCCACGTGTGTGCACAATGAAGGCTTCTTCATAACCCTTACAGTGCAGGCTTCTTGAGAAACAATACAGTGTGTGTACAGTATAAATGAATTTTAAACCTGTCTTAAGTCACATTTCAGTGTTCACATTTATCTCAAGTCCATTCGAATTCACTAATTTTTGTAAGCCATTGTTTTCTTATGTATAGATATATTTGTAGAAAATATTTCTCTTAATTAAATACCAGTGATATTTTTGGTACATGTATGGAATACCTTTAAATTAAGTCTAATTAACAGAAATGTAATTAAAATATACAATTTTCACAGGAGGAAATGGTGGTTAAAAAGAAAAGAGAATACAGAAAGAGGAAACATAAACAAGTGATACAGCAACAGAGAGAGCATACTGTAACAAGTGTTCAACAATCTCATTATAATGATATTGATGTTCTACACCCCGACTTCAGTTCTGAAGATGAAGGACTTTCTCCGGTAAGACAGTTATTTTTAAATGCCAATGATATAAGATGTCTGCGAAGTAATGGCAATGGCAAGCAGTTTCAAGCTTATTTGGGGTAATGAAACTAAAAAAAATGATTCTAAAAAAAAAGGAGCTGCTTAATAGCATTATATGGTCAAGATTGTGAGAATGTTTTAATAAACTGTAATAAGGGGTTTAGGGAAGTAAATTGATTAAAAAAAAGGAGGTGCTTAATAACATTATATGGTCAAGATTGTGAGAATGTTTTAATAAACTGTAAAAAGGGGTTTAGGGAAGTTGCAGATACAAACTGGGTACCCCCATAAAGGCACCTGGCAAAGTTTATGCTTTTGAAAGGGAAACCCCCAAAATGATACAGATTAAAACTCAATATAGGAGCTGCACAAAATGATTACTGTGGATCCATTGATATTCATGGGATATCAATTCTTTTGCGGGTAAAGGTTAACCAAGAATTTAAATGTGGAATGAAGTACAAATTTTCTATAGGTTGGTAAAACTACAAAATCAAATATCCACAAAAACCCATTTGTTTTTCTCAGTCCTCGAAAGTTGCACAGTTGCAATGAAAATAATTGAATCCACAGTATTCAGTATTGTGAGAATGTTTCAATAAATTGTAATAAGGGGTTTAGGACTTGCAGATACAAAACGGGTACCCCTCAAATGTGTACTTTACTTTGCAGATATGACAATGTTGTCTGAAAAAAAAAACCCTAAAATCATTCAGATGAAGTAATAGAATAGACTGTGCAAAAGTACCTCATGTGATTGAGATTCTGTAAAATTTTTACATAATTCTGTCCAGCAGTTCAGAAACAGTTGCAGAAACAGCAGTGGGACAAACTTGCAGCCACTGCCAACACTGTAGAGCTGCTTATGGAAGAAAGAATAAATAAGAATATTGAACTTAAATGTGTTATTTCTTTTACAGGGTATGTCACCTTCTGATCATGAAGAGGAGAACGACCCAGATGGTCTGTTTGCCTTCAGGAGGAAGAGGAACTGTCATTATCATGCTGTATGCATTATTATAATCATTTCTTGTACATTCCTTTTTTTGTGATCAAAGATTTTTAAACATAAGATTAACCTTAATTTCATTGTTTTAGCTGATGATTAAAAATAATTTTTGACTTCTGACATTTCATGATTATTTTTAAATATTCGATCAAAAAACATTTATAAATAAATTCTTGGAGAGCTTAAGAAGTTCACAACAGGGTCAAAGTTAGAAATATGTATTAGCCTGAACAGTTATATTTGCAAGACAATATAAAGTTTAGATTTCTGAATTCTCTCTGGATGCTTTTATCTTATTCCATCAATAGCTGAAGATGCAAGGTATCTTATTGTTGAAATTATATCTCTCCAAAATTTATTTTTTAGCCAATCTTAAATCGACTTGGAAACTGGCCTTGGTGCAGTCAAGAAGATGGTGGAATGGGAGAAAAAAAATACAGATATAACTTAACCTCCTTGTCTCAACCCCCACGCTGTATAGGATTTGCACGTAGGCGGTTAGGTAGGGGAGGGAGGTAAGTTTAAAGAAACATAGTTTTTCGGCAAGGAAACCAAACTTTTCCCCTTAATTAGTTTGTGTGTACCTGGCTATTTTTTGCAAAGGGGACTGTCCCATTGAAAAAATCAAATAGATATTCTCTGTGGGGTTCATTCAATGGGAATTTTAAATTTCTCCTTGAAAACCAATCTTCATGGTTAAATTGAGCGTACAAAAAAAAAAACTCCTAGTGATGAAAATACATGTACCAATACTACTATGGTGGTGTTTTACAACCTTGACTACCCATGAGGGTGTCGCATGGTTGTGTACTCATAAGGAATAATGACACATATTGTTAGAGAAAGAGATAATAATTACAATAACAGACTACTCAAGAACAAATTTTAATTTTGTTTGGTAAGTGCAGAAAAACAAAACTTGGTGATAAGTAGATAATTTTGTTTTACATGGTGCATATGGCAAAGAAATTATGTCATTTTATTTTGGTTTTATAGTGATAAAACCTAAGGCTGATATGACAATGCAGTCAACATTTCCCTCATACAATCTAGTAACCAACTTGAAACACCTTTACTGCAGAACAAATAATAATTTGATGCATGTTTTTTCAACAATTTTTTGAACAGCCACATTAATCAATGAAAGGTTGGTTTTTCAAAAAGAAATTTAAATAGCCAGGTAAACACAAAGTGATTCTGGGGAAAGGTTTCATTTCCTATGAAATATCTCACTCTCTAGTGTGATAGCACTGTTTTAGATTACCAAGGTCATATAAAGTAAGTTTTTAGTTTCTCATAGGAATTACGTTTGTTTTCAGTCTTGTGCTATAGATATAAGCTTAATTATAGTTTGTGACACATTATAATGCTATCATTTTGTAGCCAACATGACTGACATGCAAGTTATATCAGTGTAAACTATGAAATCATATATGAAAGTGTTTGAAATAGTTTGAAATATTCTTGCAACTAAGATATATGTTTTTTTAGGTTATTAAAAATGAAGAATTTTTAAAGGAGATATTTTAATGAATTGACAGAAAAAAATCATTTCAATCTCACTATGTGTTAGTTTAGGAAATGCTGCTGTTCAGACGTGTTGTATGGAGTTTATATCATAAAATGCAAATACTACAATTTTAATTTATGCACTTGGAAAATGTATACATTGCAACAATTCTAACTTTTTGTAGTATTTTAGTTGTTTTATTCTATTGTAGGGTATTGTTAGACAGAGCTTTCTCAGACTGGGACGAGCCATTGTATAGATCAAATTTTTCATCACAGGGGACATCATTAGGGGAAGATTACAACTCATACATCAGGGAAAATAGAATGTAAGTAACTAAAAAAATATAAAATTCTTTATTTTTTTCTGCAACAACATGCAATAGTTCACTAATAAGATCAGCTTCATTGGAGGAAGCCACAGAATTCAATCCTATGTTCCCGAGTTGTAATAGGCTTAAAAGTGAAACAAAAAACTAAAACAATGCATATGACTATAATGGGCATCTTTCACTGCTCTTATTATTTATTATTGTTTACCTCTCTTGTTACATATTAAAGTGCATAAACATACTAGTAAATGACAAAAAACAAACATTAATAGTACAATAAAGCTGCTGCAGTGAAAAAAGCAAGTTGAATGTTTATGAAAGTCATTGATTTTAAATAAGTTCAATTTCTTAAAATGAATTAAAGCAGTTGTTCGGTATAAGCCGAGACGACAACCCTATGACACAAAAAAGGAAAAGACATCTAGAGTTCACCATGGACATAATTGACATTAATTAGTCTCTTTGTAAGGTCTGGATTTTTTTTCACACAAATTATATTTTTTTAGGACTTGAAAGTCGGGATATTTTTTTCAAACTTATTCATAACAAAAGTAGCAACATAAACAAAAGTGTGTCAGTATTTCGACGGTCAGAGCTTTATGAAATTTTGTACCAGTTTTTGTAATACCATTGAGAATGATTTGCGACATGCAGCATTTTTAAATTGAAAGGCTTTAATTTTAAGATTTGAATGAAAAATTAGGAATTGATAATGTGAATTTTGATTTTGAGATAAGAAATACATGTATAAACCAGAAAGTTGATTATAAATTATGAATAAATCTGCTATAGGAATTACTTCTCAGTCAGTTGAATTTTAAATCAGTCATGACTGGCAAATATGACTTGTTTCAAGACCCTTGGTTACATACTTTAAATCTATATAAGGTCTAGATACCAATATGAGAACATAAGGAACATCACCTTATTTATTTATATCTCCTTTTTTATAGAAAAGAATTCAATGTTTTCCTTTGACCAGATCAGATTTAATGAAAACACTTGGTGAAATGGTAAATTTATCATTTGTAATACTGATGTTATGATAAATTATTTCTTTACTACATTACAATCTGTCATTTTGATTACAAATATTGCCAGGACAATTTAGACTGTCCATAAGATTGCTTATTGGCATAGTTATATATATTTTACCATTACACAGCTGCAAGTATGTCATCTACATAAATTTGTTAATTTCAGACCATATTTTCGTCCACATTCACCTACAGAAGAAGATCACAATTTCAAAGATCGAATTTCTGGTGATAAACTAGAAGAAGAGTTTAATCTAGAAAGCTTTCAATCTCATCGAGAACAGTTATTACAAATGCAGAGAGATCAAGAAGAGCAGTTGTTAAAACAGACGACTTGTGACTTTGAAAGTGCTGGATGTTCGGGTTTAGATCAGTCTTTCTCATCTCAGCCCACATCCCGGTTTATGTTAGATTCGGCTAGTGCTAAATTTGCTGTGTCAGCAGTGATGAATACGACACAGGTTCAGACTAAAAAAACTGGTGCTATATCATCTTTATTATCATCTACATCATCGTCATTGGCAACATCTTCATTTTCACAACCAGCAGCAGTCTCATTACAACCAAGTTGTGTTACATTAACAAATGGACCAATATCAGACAGTAAACCCACAGGTCTTTCAACATCACCAGCAGCAACTGTTTTACAGCTGAACTTTCCAATAACAAACAACAATAAAAATTCGTCCAATCACAATTTGGTCTCATCGACCGCTACAAGTCTTTCATCAGTGCTAATGTCAACACAGTCATTCCTGCCAGTCCAGACAATTGGCAAAACTGTTCAATCAGCTAACCATGTCAAGATATCCCCTGCCAACTTTACACATAAATTGACAAAGTAAGTAATGAAACAAACTTGGGAAAAATGTAGCCAATGTTTATTAAGTGCTTCAAATATAAAAGCTTTCAATTTCATCTTTGAAAGAAAATAAAAGATGCTATTGTATAAAAGCATACTGGTATGTCAAATATACAAATTATTACAACTTGGGGAAAAAAATCTTGATTTATAGACTCTCCACAGAAATGAAACTGAAAATGAAATGTTTGTGTTTGATGAAGAAAGATATAATTACTTTTATAGTAAATATCAGTCTTCAAACTTTACAGAAGGCCTACCAGCCCAGGCTTGTAAAAATTCTATCAGGGCCTGTAGGAATTTCTTCTACAGGTTAATAGAATTAATACAATATTCTCCTAAAAATGTGCCTGTGACCTTTGGCTGCAAAAGTTTATCATTTAGATTGAGTTATGATTGGTAATACACTTAACGAAAGAAAGGTATGATATATTTACAGTTGTTAATGGGTAGTACATTTGACAAAAAATTGTTTTTCATTATAGGACAGAAGATGGGAAGCTGAATAGTATAATACATTCTGATAAAATAGTGGCAATGGATGTAACCTGAGAGAGTCAAACGCAGTAGAATGGTTTATAGATGGTGCCCTTCTGTCAACAACAGACATACGCTAGTCAGAGGGAGATATCAGTCAGCTGACAACATAATTGACGCCATATGCCCCAGGAAGAAATTTAGTTCCGTCATCAAAAACAATTTAATGATTCAGCTGCTATGGAAAATTAGATGTGTGCATAATAGGACACTCATTTTGCTTGCATATTTTTAATTATGTTAAGTTTTCTAAAAAATCAGGAAGAGAAATGATGCAAAACTGCATGCAGAAAAAAGCTATTTAATATCAAACATCAGCTACATCATTTTTTATAGTTTCAAAATAATATTTGATTAAAGACAACAATAATCATGTGATGACAATGTTATTTCTGGTAAAGAAGAAGAACACATGGGATGGTTAGGGACAGTAGTCAAAGGGAGATTTTCTATGTTCTTATTTGTTAAATATATTATACTTTTATTGTCTTGTGTTTGTAGTAAGAGCTATTTCTGTGTAATTTAACACCTTTTGATATGTTATACATTTTTACTGTGGACTCGATATGAACTAGGTGGTCATGTTAGTACAATAAGGGAGTCCATAAGAGAACTAAGAACATAAATTCAACATAAGTTCACTTTCAAAAGTAAGCTAGTAATTGTATGCTTCCCAGCAAAAATAGGTCAGTTTGACCAAACTGAGAACATTAAATTGCCAAATTAAAGTTTCACATTTGAGTTCAATGAATTTATTTTGGTATCCAAAGTAAATCTTTGTTTCACAGAAGTAACCTACAACTAAATAACTTTATGCTAAGATGCAAACTATTACTTTGAATTTCTGCTTTGTTCAACCGTCTTTTTAATATATACATATAGCTCTGCTTATTGATAGGTGTAGGACATTTCCTTGTGAAACACTTCTGTTCAAAATCATTTTGATCTGCTTATTGAAAGGTGTAGGATATTTCCTTGTGAAACACTTCTGTTCAAAATCATTTTGATCTGCTTATTTGAAAGTGTAGGATATTTCCTTGTTGTGAAACACTTCTATTCAAAATCATTTTGATCTGCTTATTGATAGGCGTAGGATATTTCCTTGTGAAACACTTCAGTTCAAAATCATTTTGATCTGCTTATTGATAGGTGTAGGATATTTCCTTGTGAAACACTTCTGTTCAAAATCATTTTGATCTGCTTATGGAAAGGCGTAGGATATTTCCTTGTTGTTAACCACTTCTGTTCAAAATCATTTTGATCTGCTTATTGAAAGGCGTAGGATATTTCCTTGTGAAACACTTCTGTTCAAAATCATTTTGATCTGCTTATTGATAGGTGTAGGATATTTCCTTGTTGTGAAACACTTCTGTTCAAAATCATTTTGATCTGCTTATTGATAGGTGTAGGATATTTCCTTGTCAAACACTTCTGTTCAAAATCATTTTGATCTGCTTATTGAAAGGCGTAGGATATTTCCTTGTTGTGAAACACTTCTGTTCAAAATCATTTTGATCTGCTTATTGAAAGGCGTAGGATATTTCCTTGTGAAACACTTCTGTTCAAAATCATTTTGATCTGCTTATTGAAAGGTGTAGGATATTTCCTTGTTGTGAAACACTTCTGTTCAAAATCATTTTGATCTGCTTATTGATAGGCGTAGGATATTTCCTTGTGAAACACTTCTGTTCAAAATCATTTTGATCTGCTTATTGAAAGGTGTAGGATATTTCCTTGTGAAACACTTCTGTTCAAAATCATTTTGATCTGCTTATTGATAGGCGTAGGATATTTCCTTGTGAAACACTTCTGTTCAAAATCATTTTGATCTGCTTATTGAAAGGTGTAGGATATTTCCTTGTGAAACACTTCTGTTCAAAATCATTTTGATTTGTTTATTGAAAGTTGTAGGATATTTCCTTGTTGTGAAACACTTCCGTTCAAATCATTTTGATGCTTCCTTATAAGTTTTTTGTTTAACAATCAGTGAATGATAAATCAAATACATAAATATTGAATATACAAACATGCTTTCATTTTACTAGTATTATACATTGCCTAAAAAAAATTTTATGTCAAATATTTCACAATGTTTATAACTCAACCAATTAAGAAAATAGTTTGTGCAGCAATTTAAAAAGTATTTGAAGCATTCTTAACAGGTATTTGTTCAAATTTAGTCCAACATATTTCTGCAAGACTTGTAACAAGGGTTGGCGTCAATGGTTGTTGCAGATTTGTCTAATGACTAATTAGGTATTTATTTTGTGACTATGACAAAGGAGATCCCCTGTTTTTTTGTATTATAGTACATAAACATTTACTTCTTTGGTACTTTCAACCTACAATCATACAACTATTTTATATGGTCTACATGTTCTACTTCATGTTGTATGGTGCTGACCATAGGGGAACGTACATTTGAACAGTTTGTTGTATAGTGTATATCACTTAAAAGGGAACAATATTGTGTGCAATTATTTATTTGTAGACTTAATGTGCAATGTAAATTTTTGTTTGTGTGTCTATAAGTTTAGGTATTATTTAAATATGTGTCAAGACTTTGGCAGTTCATTAAATGATCATCTCAGCACAGGGTGTAGGAATGCTTTTTAAAATCAATTATTTCCTCTAGATTGTGAATAGAAATTTTTATTCTAAAAATCTTAAAACATGAAATTACTGTTTTGTATTTTGAAAATACGTTTTAAACAGTCAGAATGTAAAGAGTTTTTTAGAATATTATGGTAGATAACTTGTTGGTGTTCTCAATTTAAAAGTTATATTTTTACTTTCATACTTTGTGCATTTACCAAGGAATTGTATTGAAAAAGAAACTGACTTAATTAATATTTATCCTGCATGACTTAACTTATTGGATTTTTTCATTCCTGTTGGAAGTGTCCAAACAAAACTAGAACACCTTACTGGTGTAATTCCACCAAAATATAGTATATCACATCTGGTTTCATGTTAAAATAGCACAAAAATAAATAAATAATCTTCACAATGTTACAGTTGTATGAAATAAAACCTTCATTTCATTATAGAAAAAAACATCCATGTGTTAAACAATAATTTTGGGGTGTTTTATAGTTCTCTCTTTTTATTTGGCGTTTCTGTAAAATGTTATAGAAACACAAGAATGCTTATAAACATGAAAATGAATGTTGGGAAATGACATGTTGACTTTGCATCAGCATGGTGGTAATTTCTTACATGCAATGAAACACTTTGTGAAATGTTCACTGTAGTACAGGAAAAGACTAAACTTTATTCAGGCAAAGTATTATTTATATTTGAAACAAAGGTAAATTCTACACAATTTTTAGAAAAACTGTTAATTTAACATAATGTAAAAAACAACTTTGGTGGTATTACCCCTACAAATTTTATGTTGATTAAGTAGTACATGGTACAGCTTTTGTCAGTTTAAATTACATTTATCATGATACTTGTATTGAGAATGTATAATTGTTATATTAACAGTCATTTTATGATAACCATTAATAGTTAGTTTAAAATTCATATTTTTATCAATTAATTTTTATATATTTTGTAGAAGTGCCTGGGTTTTTAATACTTTTGTTATATTCAGTAGAAAACAAATCTACCTCAAGAAAACCGATTTGTGTCAAATTCCATTGGGAAATCCATTATTAAAGAAGAATTGAAATATACTACCTTTGAATATAAACATTGTAATAACTTTGACAAATTCAGGTAAAAGACATTTCCTTTAAATAGATATTACCTTTCAGAATAAAGTTACAGTTACCTAACTTCAGAAACTAATTAAGATTATATATTATTGCCAAAAAATATCTTCAGATAAATAATAATTTCCAAGCATGGTAAAACGAATAATAAGGCTTTTTAGAGGTAACTATTTGAAAATATGTTAGATATAGTTTTCTGAAAAGAAGATAGACTGTGATTTTGGTGGTATCATAACTTTCATTTAATTTAAAAGATTGAACAAATTATTTGTATCATTTAATGATAATAACTGATGAGGGAGATTGGTAGTAGCACCTTTTTCTGTTTATTATTTTTCATCTGACTTCAAATTTGATTATCTTTTATTTGGAATATTTCTTGAGTGCAATATAAACCAGAGTCCCCAAGCCACCTTGGAAATTAATTTGGTTTAAATTTCGACATTCAGTACCATATTTCCAAGCTATACTTGTGCAATCATTGAAATGTTTGTAATAGGCAGAATCTGTGTGCCAATTTAAAGCACAAAGTTACTGGCTATAACTTGAGCCTTTTCTGAAGTGTTAGTAAGAAAGGAATTTAGTTGTAACTTTTCCAAACTTATATGTCGTACAATTTAAATTAAATTATTGTTCATTTGTCTTTGTCCTCTAATACAATCCTAGTGGGAATTTGGAAAAAACATGGATTTTTATTGTTTCAAAAAGAGTGGAAATTGTGTATAAAATTGTGTATAAATTAATAAAAGTGCCAATTTGAAAAAAATATGTTAAATGGTTGAGCAACTTGGATCATCTTGGATCTAGCCAAGCATATTGGCAGCCAGCTATTAGTAAAACGCCTCTTAAGGAACCCAGATCTACATGTGTGCATCACATATATATATATTTTCCATCAAATTTCGGTCTGATTTCTTTCTGGAACATGTTAATAATAGGGGTTGAACTTCTTTTCGCAAACTTATTTATTATAATTTATGGATTATTCTCAAGAATTTATAGGGTTTTTGGTTTGCCATTATACCATTAGAAGTAATGAATGGAGTGTTTGTCTTTCTTGCTCACTTCTCAAACTAGATAAATATATCATGGAAGGTGACAAGCAAATTGTTTTCAATCAGTATTTTTTTTCAGTTATAACTTTTTTTTTTAAATCTTGTCCACCATATTTGTTATATGCCACATAAGGTAACTCTTTATTCTGAATATGAATGAAGTCAACAATGTAGTTATTGTTTCTGAAATAATTTGAGTTAGCCACTACTTGGGGTGTTTAGCTCCCTTGACCGACTGTGAAGCCGTTCTCACATTACATTGTTTGAGGATGTGTGTGATGATTGAAATGTGAATATAAGGGCTCATTCTTGTCAGTTATTTACTATTATTTCAATTATCAGGTTGCTTGGGGATAGAGGGGGGTTCAGATTTTTGGAAGGGAGTCCAGATGTTTACAGATATATTTTGAATTTATTCAGATAAATATATTGATGGAAAAAATTGTAAGGAATTATTCTGTTTCTATTCATAGAATTTAGTTTTTGTTTTTAAGCTTTTATGAACTTAACAGTGTATTAAGAAGTTTATGTAGCAATAACAATAAATGCTTTGAAAACAAAACTGAATAAAGAATCATAGATTGAGAGTGGAATGAATGTAGATTATCTCCCTTTGTTATCTTCCTGTGTTGTAGATAATGTAAAATGTGTTCAGCTGTGATAGTCCACAATAAAAGTGGCAGTAACCAATCAATTCAGAGTTGTTATTTGTTATGTCTTTGGATTAGAAAATGAATATTTAATTTCCCATTTATCTAAATGACAGTACAAAATGCTTTAGACTTGTTTCTACCACGTTGAACAGTTTGATGTAAGTAATATGAAAATATGCAATAGCAAGGACTGCCCATTTAAATAATTTTGTCCCTGGCTGGTTAGCTTTATTTCAGCAATCCTCTCTATACCTGGTTATTGCTCACCTGTCACTATGGGCCATGCGAGAAAATAGTCAACAGCAACTCTTTCAAAATCTTCCCCTGAAATCATTGGACTAATTTTAACAAAACTTAGGCTGAACATTCTTATGTTATCTAGCATGTCTAGTATTGATCAACTTAAATTTTGAATAGATATACTTGCATATATATTTTGTGTAAATAAAAATTTCAAAATATTACTCTATTATTTAAATATGAAGGTAAGACAGTTGAAAAGAAATTTTCAAAATATTTCACAAGTATCTTATGTTTGTGGGAGAAGTTGAATAAAATTTGCACGCTGTGATAATGGATGTCAAATTTGATTTCCCACACTTTTTCAAATATACAAAGAACTCTTGGTAAGACGGACAATTACATGAACCTACATCTAACAACACAATGCAGGGCTAACCAAGGATCTGTTCTGGATTAAAAGGGTACAATTAAATGTATATTCTAGTAACACTATACTGGGCAACTAGGATGAAGTTGTTGATTTCTTGTCTGTCAGTTATCTTTTCCTAATTACCAAATGCAATATGCTCCCTAGTGTAAACAGTCACTCTTTTCCAGAGTGAAATCATTTATAGTGTTGCTAGAATATAGACTCCGGTAATTGTTTGTCCCCTTGCTATCCAGATTATATCTTTGGTTGTTCCCTAAATTGAGAAATTTTTGTTCAAAACACATACATTTCAAGAAACCCTTGGTTATAGATACATGCAACTTCTCCCTGTCATTTTTAAAAAGTCGCTTCTCCCTACAATTCTGAATTACTAAGCCTTGTTATAAGGTTTGGTTTCATCAAGAAAAGTCGTCATTGATTTTAGGTTCACAATGCATAATGAAAGAAATGTTGACTCCCTCAGTGCTCACAAGCTCTTTTTTTATAGTAGGAATGCATTTTTGGAAAGTTTGGAACTATTATACAAAGTCTTTCCTAAGGCATCGGCCTCCCAAACAAGAAGTAGCACAGGTTAGCTACTAAATCTACAAAATGTATACACACTGAAATCCAGTTCCCTATACTTCTCCTGTCTGTACATATGCACATATGAACTGAAAAATTAGGCTTATATCTATTGAGCAGTTCATTCAAGTATGTATGTCATTTAGTTTTGTCAATTTGCAGGCTATTTTTGTCATTTTAATTAGGACGTAAGAGTAATGATACAATACCAGTATGATTGACAACTGCCATGATCACCAAACAATCAAGACAAGGTGGGACCTTAATTACAATGTTCCACCTCCTTAAATTCCAATCGTATTGACCAAATTACTAATCAACCTCAGTCTTACATGATTAAACAAACCCATTCATTATACATTCAGGTACACAAATAATTAACCTCATTATTGAATACACAAATACATTTGATATATAGAAACAATATTTATTCAGTGCATATTACTTTTGATCTAAACTACCGGTACACAAAGTGATTCTGTAACTTATATCTAAAAGATAAATGATTAAGGACTAACTATCTTTTTTTTTTAAAAGAAAAGACAAAATATGAAATATAAATATAAAAAAGGTATTTAAGCAAGGTCTATATTTTACTTGATAAATCTATGCATTCGTCTGTAATTAATAATTTAGGTAACACTTATCTGTGATTGGCTTGAAACAGTAAGTAAAATTTCAAACATATATTGATCAAACCAAATTTTTGTTTTTGTTTAATCCACATCAAATGCATGTCTATTAACAATTTTAATCACTTGACTACAAGTGTATTTTTGCAATTTTCAATAAAATAAGTTTTTTTAATGTATATGTAGAAAAAGTACATTTTCAATGCCGTTTTCTGGAAAATTTTAAATTATAAATTGAATCAAAATACAGTCTACAACTTTTAATCTTAAGGGTCATATTAAAGGAGAAAAATAGTATACAATTTAAAAGAAATTGTTGTGCAAATAAAGGGACCCACTGCCATTGATTTACATATTATCTACTTAGATAGTGCTTATCCTTCTAAAGACCTGCAATTAATGCAAATAAACTCATCATAGATACCAGGATTGAAATTTTGTATTTGCGCCAGACGCAAATACAAATTTAACCAAACTTGGCCACAGTTATCATTGGGGTATCTAGTTTAAAAATTTGTCCGATGACCCCGTCTGCCAACCAAGATGGCCTACATGGCTAAAAATAGAACATAGGGGTAAAATGTAAGTGTTGTCTATTATTTCGAAAGCCGCTATAAATAGAGGTAACCTGACAGGGGCAGAAATGTTCAGAATTTGACCTCTCCCTATTGTTTAAAACTGTCAGACGACTTATAGGAGTTATTGCCCTTAAAATGACAAATGTTTGACTATTATCTTGAAAACTATAATAGATAAAGAGAAACTTTAAATTGCAAAATGATCAGCAAGATAAGTTCTACAAATAAGTCGCATGGTCGAAATCGGCAGTCGACTCCTTCTTAGAGTTATTGTCCTTTGATGATGATTTTTACCAATTCTTTGCGTTTTTGCCCTGTATCTTAAAAATTATAATAGATAGATAGAAACTTGAATAGGCAAAAATGATCAGCAAGACAAGATCTACAATTAAGATAATATGGAGGAAATCGTCCGACGACACTTTATTGGAGTAATTGCCCTTTTATGACGATTCTTACCATTTTTTTGCGTTTTGCCTTATATGATAAAAATTATAATAGATAAATAGACACTTAAAATCACAAAAATGATCGGCAAGGCAAGATCTACTAACAAGTCAAATGTCGCCGATATAGTTAGTAGACAATCACTCTTCATAGGAGTGATTGCCCTTAGATGAGGATTTTTTATCCACTTTTGTGTTTTGAGCAAAAACTAAAGAAGATAGAGAGAAGCTAAACAGACTATATGATTAGCAATAAAAGATCAACAACACAGAGTTTTTTGTCACGAATTCTATTCTCGTCTACAATGTTAGAGGATGTCCTTTGTTGAATATGCACATAGAACAAGGTGAGAGACACAGACATTTTAGAGCCTCTGGTTTGTTATCAAAATGACGTGCAGATATATGAAATTCGAGTCATAATTTTCTCAGCAATTTATACAAGTCATTCCTCTTCGATATAAGTTGAAGTATAACAGGTGAGTAATTGCTCACAGTAGATCTTTTTTCAACCCAACGAATGAACCTTATGGTATCTAGTATTGTTGAATAGTAGTCTCAGCTAGGACATATGTGTTGGTGTAATAGTCCCAGTTCTCAGTCAGAATTAAGGTTGTCTTTTTTTGTCCCCAATAACCAACACGACCACCTTCCCTAAAAAGTGACAACGGTGAAATGCAATAAAATGTAAACAGAAAGAGAAAGTCTGGCAGGTGAAGAAATGCTCTGAATGTCGACGTCAGTTCAATACCAGCAAATTATTCTTATTATAATTCCTTATCAAAATTGTTGCCCCTATGAAGGATTTTTTAAATCTATTTTAGCATTTTGCTATTATCTTGAAAACCGGGTCGATAATGCTCCTGAAAGACTGCTAGGTCCCGAGGATATAATTAGCTGAATAGTCTATGCTGTGGTAATAACATGATTTATACCATACCTTTCTTAAATTCCTGTTGAAATAATGTTGATGAAGTAAGGTTCTCGGGAAAACATTATCTTAGATGGTTTTTAAAGGAATTGCCTTTATTGGCATGATGTACATGTCATTTTTTTTTACCTAGCTGAAATAGAGCGTACAAGTTTTTCATTCATTAGTTGTTTCAAGATCGAGTAAAAGAATGCTTTTGCTTGATTTCATATAAAAAAATTAAGTTAATTCGATTGAACATTCCTTAAACGCAATTTTTAATGGATTGTAAATATTTTAAATCGCTTCGCTTAGAAAATGATCCGCGAACAGTTAAGTATATAACAGGCTTAGTTTCCGGGCTCAGTGATACCGTAAATTGTTTGTGTTGTATTAAAGTGCAGTCTCTTTTTAAGCTTCATGTGGACCATTTGGCTAAAATGGCTGTGTTTACACCCGAAGATTTACTCTTGAGTGCAGACATACCTTTGCATCTAGAAATTTTTAAAGCACGACATGCCATATATAGAATTCAAAAGCAATTTATGTTTCAGAAAATTTAGGACTTAACTACATGTTACCGTGCTTTTTTTTCAGTTCCTACAAAAGGACCCAAAATACAAAAAATGTTGGGAAAGAGGTTTGAGAACTTCCCCATAGGTAATAATTGAAGTGAAGTGTTTTGATCGACATGCACAATAAAAGGACAATAGATATCTGACAACAATAGGGGATCTAACCTGTGCAACTGAGTAGACCATATCAAATGAAAATCAAGTGTTTGCTTAGTTTATCATCTTCGGCAGGGACGATAATATTAGCACAGCAAAATCCAGTTAAGTTTTGAATTTTCTGAAACATAAAACGCATTTGATCCTTATTTATCTAGGTCATGCCATGCCGTACATTTTCCAGATGCAAAGGTTTGTCTGTACTCAGAGTAAACTTTGAGGTGTAGACACAGCCATTTTAGCCAAAAAGATCCACATATCGACCCTCTTTCCAATGCAAAATCGTCTGTTTTTCCAATTTTTCCATTGATATTCGCCCATAACTTCTAAATACAGTCTACAACATCATTTTTAAAGCGTAGCAAATTGTTATGTGTTTGGATTGTTTTTGATCCGTTTGTTAAACTATTTACGCACCTCAGAATTTTGTAACTTAATGTCGTATTCATATAATTTACTGGTCCTTGGGCGAATTTTGATTCATTGTGAGCAAAGGAAAGATATATA